CTCGACCACTGAGCCATATCCCCAGCCCTTTATTGTATTTTATTTAGAGACAAGCTGGCTTTGAATGCATAATCCTCCTGTTTTAGCCTCCCAGAGCCGCTGGGATTACAGGCATGAAGCACTGTACCTGGCTCTTATTGCATCTCTTGATTACATCAAAAGACCACATAGTGATTGACCCGTATTATCTAGATGTGTATTAAAACACTATATTACGATGTTCACATAATACTGGAATTGTTACTTCTCAGAACATGTTCCCATTGTTAAGCAACACTTGACTGTACTTTTTTAAATTATTTTTTTTGTAGTTGTAGATGGATAGAATGCCTTTATTTTACTTGTTTATTTTTATGTGATGCTGAGACTCAAACCCAGTGCCTCACACATGCTACAGCCCCAGTAGCATGTGCTCTGCCACTGAGCTACAGCCCCAGCCCCACATGACTGTACTTTTTTTTTAGTTGTAGTTGGACACAATACCTTTATTTTTATGTGGTGCTGGGATCGAACCCAGAGCCTCACAGGTGCTAGACAAGCGCTGTACCCCTGAGCCACAACCCCAGCCCATGCTTTAGTATTTGGCATGATTAGTCTTACTTCATTATTCTCTGTACTCAGCATTTTCCTACTTCTTTATGCAAGTTTTTTTTTAAACAAATAAACTTTAGAGTCCATCAAATTATTTTTAAAAATCTTTATTGGGATAAACTTATGATTGGAGAAGATTTGCCCAGAAATGAAGCCTAGTGGTAGAGTGCTTACCTGGCATGTATGAGGACCTGGGTTTAAATCCTAGCAATGCTGGGCTGGGGATGTGGCTCAAGTGGTAGCATGCTCACCTGGCATGTGTGGGGCCTGGGTTCGATCCTCAGCACCACAAACAAACAAAGATATTGTGTCCCCCGAAAACTAAAAAATAAATATTAAAAAAAATTCTCTCTCTTTCTCTCAAAAAAAAAAAATTTGCAAAAAATCCTAGCAATGCAAAAAAAAAAAAAAAAAAAAGTGAAAAAGCAGATTAAGGGACAATTAACATTTGAATGATGACTCATCCTATGGAGAACATTACTTTTCCATTTGTTTACATTTTATTTTGTGTCCCTCCAAAGAATTAAAATGTTTTTACCTATGTAAGTCTTGCTCATTTCTTTCATTTATATATTTTATATTTTAGACACCTTTGTAAGTAAAACTTGAGATCAACTGTCACTTCTAATGATTGCAAGAAGTAGAAAATGAGTTGATTCTGCTTATCAGATTTTTGATAGGAAATGTGTTGATTCTGCATATCAGATTTCGTACACTATGACCTCTTGTTTATAATAGTTATTCAGTTTATTTTCTTTGACCAGCAAGAAATAAACTTATTTTAGCTTCAAAAAGTGGTAACATGGGCTGGGGATGTGGCTCAAGTGGTAACTCGCCTGGCATGTGCAGGGTGCTGGGTTTGATCCTCAGCACCACATAAAAAATAAAGATGTTGTGTCCACCGAAAACTGAAAAATAAATATTAAAAAAATTCTCTCTCTCTCTCTCAAAAAAAAAAAAAAAAAAAGTTGCAACATTTGTCTGAGTACTGTGGCACACTGCTATAATCCCAGGGACTCAGGAGACTGAGACAGGAGAATTGCAAGTTTGAGGCCAGTCTTAGCAAATTAGCAAGGCCCTAAGCAATTTAATGAGACCCTATCTCAAAATAGAAAATAAAAAGGTCTGGGGATGTGGCTCAGTGGTTAAGTGCCCAGAATTAAATCCCCTATACCAAAAACAACAATGTGGTAACATTTGTTTCTTTTCAGTTTTTATACTAGTAAGGAAATGATAATGTTTTTAGTGTACACTTTGGTAGGAAATGCTGTGTGGGATACAAATGATATACATAAGATCTAACTATCCCAGGCCCTCCCTGACAAATCTAAGATATCTGAGTTAAAACAACATTTAAAAGAAAAAAGTAATCAAAAACTTGTACCTGACTTTAGTAGGAATATTTTTTTAGTGTTATAAATTATGCTGGCTTGGGATTGAAGTAGATATATTTTGTTTTGTTAAGGAAATAGTTGTGTTCTCTAATTTTATCAAGAGATTTTAGTCAAAACTGAATTTTGAGGCAGTGAAACAACCAACCTTTCTTTCTTTTATGTATTGGGGATTGAACTCAGGGGCACTTTACCACTGAACTACATCTCCAGCCCTTTTTATTTTGAGACAGGTTCTTGCTAAGTTGCTGAGGCTGTCTTCAAACCTGCAATCCTCCTGCATCAGCCTTTTGAGTCCCTGGGATAACAGGCGCGCTCCACTGTACCTGGAACAATAAACATTTCTTAAGCATTGCTATTGTGCATCAGGCATTGAGATAAGGAATAATAATGAGAGACATTATAGGAAATACAAGTGCAAACAAATTTTTAGTTCAAATCATGTCAACACTTCATATACTCTGTGACCCTGGGCAAATCATTCAACTATTTTGAGCCTTTGTTTACCTATTTGTGAGATGGAACTATAACTTTCCAGGGTTGTTATTGTTCTACTGTATGATTCCACACTTTAGTTCTTTAGTAGAGTGAGACAAATATGTCACCAGTAATCAGGGGGAAAAAAAGTGAGAGAGATGGTATGGTAAAGTGATAAAGTGTGCCTGACATGGAAGAGTGAACAGTGGTGATACAAAGGAGTGTTTTTTCCTGCCTAAAGAGGATCTCCAGAAGGTTTTACAAAGGAGGTAGTATTCAAAATGAGCCCTGAAGGGGATGGGGTTGTGGCTCAGTGGTAGAGTGCTTGCGTAGCATGTGTGAGGCACTGGATTCAATTCTCAGCACCACAAATAAATAAATAAAGGTCCACCACCAACTAATAAAATATTGGGGGTGGGGGGTAGCCCTGAAAATGGGTAGCACATTTGTAAACTTGCTTGGTATCTTCAGGAAATTGCTCAAAATAGAAAATAAAATTGTGTGGCATAATGAGACTAAAGCAATAGAGATTATGGCAAACCTGTAATGTTTGCTACCCTGAAGATTTTGCACTTTATTCTGAAAGTGACTCAGGTATTGAAGAGTATTCAAACTATCCTATTTGCTAATGGTAAGGGCGTATTAAACTGATAGTGGGAAGATGCTATAGCTGTTGCATTTGAGGAAGGCATTGGTAGGGACTAAAGAAGAATTGACAAATTTAAAATAGATTTAGAATCATTAGAACTTTGGACCATCCAGAAAGAAAGAAAAAATAATAATTTCCCGAATTGTCAGGGTTAGACTGAAGTTGTTGTTAGATGTATTCATCAAGATAGTAATAACAACCAGTAATGGCAGCACAAGCCTGTTATCCCAATGACTTGGGAGGCAGAGGCAAGAGGATCACAAGTTCAAAGCCAGCCTTAACAATTCGCAAGACCCTGTTCAAAATATAAAAAATTAAAAAGGGCTGGGGATGTGGCTCAGTGGTTAAGCACCTCTGGTTTTCAGTCCCTGGTATTTAAAAAAAAATAGTAATACAAGATGGAAAATGCAGAAAAGCGGTAGATAATAAATTAACTTTTCTGTGCCTAGCTTTTAGAGAAAATACTCTAAAAATTATAGGAATAAGTTCCTCTACTTTTTATTCCTGTCAAAAAAGAAATTTGTCTGTCTCGGCTGGGGTTGTGGCTCAGTGGTAGAGCGCTTGCCTAGAATGCCTCATCCTGAGTACCACAATTAAAAAAAAAAAAAAACCTAAATGAACAAAATAAAGATCTTAAAAAAAAAGAAATTTGATAAAACATGTTCTCACTCATGTAGAAGCTAAAAAAGTTAATCTTAAAGAAGAAAGTAGTATTGTAATTACTGGAAGCTAGAAAAGGTAGAGGGGGAGGGAGAAGAGAGGAACATTGTATAACAGATACCAAAACACTGTTAGATAGAAGTAAGTTCTGGTGTTTTACAGCACAATATGATAACTATAGTTTGCAACAACCCATTATATGTTTTATGAAGAACTGTAAAGCAGGAATTTGAAGGCTCTAAACACAAAGAAATAATAAATGTATAAGAAGATGGAGATGGAAATGCTAATTACCCTGATTTGAGATCATTCTTCATCATATATATGTATTATTGCAGTGTACCCCTAAATATAATTAATATGCATCAGTTTTCTTTTTTTATATTTATTTTTTAGTTGTAGTTGAACACAATACCTTTATTTTATTTATTTTTATGTGGTGCTGAGGATCAAACCCAGGGCCTCACATGTGTTAGGGCAAGTGCTGTACCATTGAGCCGCAACCCCAGCCAAGCATCAGTTTTCCTAAAAAGGAAATTTATCTTGAATATAGTCTTCACAAAGAAGTTGGTGAGGTGCATCACAGACTAGTGAATAAGTTATGAGTACCATAGAGGATGGTTCTGTTCATTCTTAAGGTTTCATTAAGCAAAGAGCTAAAGAAAATGTCATAGCTATAACTATGTTAATGCACCTAAAATTAACAAAGTTCTAAGTTGGTGCAGTGGCGCGTGCCTGTAATCCCAGTGGCTTGCGGGGCTGAGGCAGGAGGATCACAAGTTCAAAGCCAGCCTCAGCAATTTTGAGACGCTAAGCAACTCAGTGAGACCCTGTCTCTAAATAAAATACATAATAGGCTGGGGGTGTGGATCGGTGGTCAAGTGCCCCTGAGTCAATCCCTGGTATCCCTCCCCCCGCAAAAAATTGACAAAGTTCTTAAGTAACTGTAATGTTGATGATAAAGAATTTGATGGGCTGGGGTTGTGGCTCAGGTGGTAGAGTGCTCTCCTAGCATGTGTGAGGTACTGGGTTCAATCCTCAGCACCACATAAAAATAAAATAAAGATATTGTGTCCACCTAAAACTAAAAAAATAAATATTAAAAAATTTTTGAACATTATTTTAATGTTTTTGAAGTTTATGAAAATGATATTAAGATGAATATTCAACTTGAATTTAAATTTATGTACAAAATGTTTAAAGTATATTCACTCTTTTTTCTTCTATTCTAGTTACTATTTCTGGAAATGAAGAAACTGGTAAGGCACTTATAGTATTATATTTTAAGACTTATAGTATATTAATTGCACTCCTCATAGTTTTTAGTAATGAATACTTATTTTTGCTTTTCAAAAAGAAAATTTGTATATTTAAATTTTAAGTAATTAAAGGAGATGCAGTATTGGGTTTATTCCCACTCGGTGTATTCTCATTTTGTATTATTTGTATAAATTGAGATAGCCATTATTTTGTAAGGCTCCTAGAACTCAAACTTCTTTTGGTAAATTTTGAAATCTGTGTAGTATGTTCTTCAGAACTCTCTATTTAAATTATTAATATGAATTTTAGTTGAGGAGAGGGAATTCTGCTTTTATTATGACTAAATCTCATTGATGGTATTCTTGCTTACAAATTTGTTGAAAATAGCACTTTCCTACTCAAAGATATTTAGTAAAATAACCATGCTTTAAGATTATAAATTGTTAATGAGTCACATAAACAATTAAGGTTTTGCCAAGATCCTTGCTTCTTAGAATGTGATCTATAAAACAATATCAGCATCATGTGTGAGCAGTTCAGACTTTATTCCACATCCATTAAATCAGATTCTGCCTTTTAATAAGGTTTCAAAGGGATATTCATACACATGTAATTTTGAGAAATCCTGCATCAGATTATTCAGAAGGGCACATTTTGTTCCTTGATGATGCAGGCATGATTCAAATGAATAGACCAATTAGAAATAATAATAGTAATAATAAGTTTGTAAATTGTATTATGAGTCAAAGAAATTAAAGTTTTTATAATGAATAATCAAAGAGACAATACTTAGAGGGAAAAAATTCTTTCTTACACTTTTGCCAGAATAAAAGAAAACTTCAGAAATCCATTGAGGATCAAATTTCAAAATAAAAATTAATTTTAATAGAAAAAAACAGAATTTCTTAAACAGTTGGACAGTTAGAAATTATGAATAAAGATTTATTCTTGTTACTGGAGATAATTAGATATTAAGCATATAAATCAAATTTTTGCCCTTAAATCTAATTTTTCAGTAACGGAAGAAACAGAGTCCATCTTGGTAGGCCTATCGGTTACATCAGAATTATTTCCTATATATTGAAAGTATGGGTTATTTTTACCATGTCTCTTAAACAATCCTGTTATAAACTTTTATGTTTGTTTTTTTTTTGAATTATAGGTTACAGTTATAGTTAGGTTGACTTTTGAACCCAGTCTTTTGATTGATAAGTTCAGATTTTTTCTTTGAGCTTTAACATGCTTAGTTAACAAAAATTTTACCCTATTTATTATTTGTAACCAATAGCTTATACAAGTAATTATTAACAATCACATGAATTGAACTCAGTTAAAAGCATTGGTCTCTATCATTTTTTAACATAATAAAGAATATTATATTTACTTGGTTATAATTTAATAACTACCATCTTTATATACTTATTATATTCCAAACATTGTACTACAGACTTAATATCTATTTTTTATTTAACTGAGAATTAATATATTTTAAAGTAAGCTGTTTGCTTTATTGTCCTATAGATCAGAAATATGTAAAAAGATATTAAATGTTAAAATATTTCAAGAATATTTTTTGCATGCCTATCTTAGTTGTAAGTAAATGCTTAAGAAGTTTGAGGACCTTAGTGTTGCTATTTGTCTCTAAGCTATATAACAGTGTTTAAATGAGGAATGACAAGCTTGGTTGAATAGGGGGGCCAGGCAAAAAATAAACTATGTGAAGATAACACGGAGAGTAAGTTGATAAATGGCCTCATAGTTGGTGTCACAATAGAAGCCTAAGCTCCCTCATGTTTTTCCAAAGAAAAAACAAATGAAACGATGATTTGGAGTCCTTTGGGTTCATTATATTTTGGTTTGGGCTAGAGGGTGCTGAAAGCATAGAGAAATGCAGATTTTGAGAAGCCAGAATTTTCATTGTCAATAATAATAATAGCAGAAGTGAAAAGAGCACACTTTAAAATAGAAAGAAGTTGTAGTTAAGAGTTTTATTTTGGCAGCAAATGTTGGCTCAGAAGTAGAATGACCATTTAGATAATGGTTAAAAAAAAAAAAGTGGAGGAGAATTCTGTTTCAGGGATGACAATGAAAAGGACCTTGGATTCTTATCAAACAGATATGGGGTTGAATTCTGGCATTATCATTTAGTAAATAAGTGACATTGCACAAATTACTAAATTCTCTGAACCTCACTGTTTGTTTATGAACTCAAAAAATATTGTAAAAGACTACTGTGAGGATTGGAAATAAAGCATACAATATATGTGTTTTAAGTTGGTTGGAATGATTATTTGAGTAGCAAAAGTTGAATATGATGACTATAAAATCCCAGAGTTTTATTAGGATGCATTGGCCCCGCAGATGGAGTTACTTTCTAGGAATTCTCAGAGTCCAGGGGGAAAAGAAACTAGAGCAACACATTTAGCATTAGCTGTGAAGATGTAAGCAAGAGACAGGAAGCAAGGAGACCAGTTTTACTTTTGCAGCAATCCAAATGAGATGGGCAGCGTAGGCACTGGCAGTGAAAACAGTGAGAAGAAATTAGAGTTGAAAATAATTGTACTGATTACCCAGAAGATAAGGGAAGCTACTTGAGGCTTAGGTCCCTGCATCAATTAGCTGTGTGACCCCAGCGTCCAGTGTCTGAAATGAACCAGTGCAATTAAAAAAAAAAAAAAAAGGCTGGGTTCTAATAAGGTTGTCAAGTTTTATTATTTTTTAATTTAAAAAGAATGAACATTATTTAAAACCAAAATATAAGGAAAAATAATCTCAGACTAAAAGAAAAGGAAGGTCAGTGCTAGCTTTATAATAAGAATTAAGATACTTGGACAGTAATGATAATAATAGCCAGTATTTGTTGAGGATTTATTATGTACCAGGCACTACTGTAAGTGTTTGCATATATTTGTTCATCAGTATTAGGCAATTAACTTTATTCAAAAGGGGTTTTAATTGAAGTCTAAGCAAATGGATTGGAAAAATGCAGCGTAACTATGAATTCTGAAAGTAATGGAGAAGACTTTTTGTGGAAGAAATACTATTTGATCTGAACTTTAAAAATGAGTAGAATTTCAGACTTTTTACACTTTATACTTTGTTATCTTCAGTGGGTTTGTGTTGCTGCATTACAAACTGAAAAACAGTTCAGCTACCTGGTACATAGCTCTTGCTTATTGTAAACTAGTTCTACTTCTTTCAAATAGAAAAACTCCCAGAACACAACAAAAAGCTTTAGAAGTTATATCATCGAGTTAACATTTGGAGATAAAGATGTTACATCCACTTGGGAAACAGTTAAGGTAGAAATTTAGAGTGACTTTTCTTACTAGCCTATGTTGAACAGCAAAATGAAATTTAGAATACGTTTTGCAAATAATACAGGGATTAAGTTACTCAATTTTACTTATTATTCTTGGGGATTATAAGTTATTTATTTTCAGTTTATAGTTCCTTGGATTTAATGTTTAATAGTGATGGATCATTTTAAATAATGTTTAAGTCATTTAAAATTATTGTTTAGGGAGAACTGAAATATAGCGAATAAAGGAAGTTTTTTTTAGCTCAAATCCTCAGCAACTTTATAAAATCAAATCTCTTCTCTGGCTGTGGTCTTTATTTGTAAACCAGTCTGATAGTCCTTAAATTCAGGAACAGAATATTTCTTCAAATATAATATTACATGATAAAGATAAAAGAGTTTATATATTTGATGTTTTAGTATGTCTTAATTAAATTTTTTATTGGATTAGGTCTCCTGACCCACATACTGTGTTTTAATGTAATGCTTTTTCCTGTTTTCACCTGAATTCAATGAAATGTTATTTGTTTTTATTTACCAGGAAAGACCGTTGTTTACCTTGTGGCTTTCCATCTGTTCTTTGTTATGTTTGTGTGGTCCTATTGGATGACAGTATTCACATCTCCCGCTATCCCCTCCAAAGAGGTAAATTTAATGTTGGTAAATTACCAAATGCTTTAACTGATTATGGAATTGTTTTCCCTTGTGTTACCTATGTTAAAACTGTACATAATGCATTTGTTTTGTTTCCATTCATAAAATTTTTTGGTAACTCTGTACTGTGAATGTGAATCATCAACCTACTCTCAGATACCATTCACTGACATAGCTTAGCTGTAATAATACTTACCTCACATGCTGTGGTATCTTAAATAATTATGTTATTGAGTAAAAAAGTCATTAAATTGAGTAGGGAAGTAGAGTTGATTTTTAGAAATTTAACCCAGGGTATAGTGGCACATGCCTGTAATCCCAGCAGCTCTGGAGACTGAGGAAGGAAGATGGCAAGTTCAAAGACAGATTCAGCAACTTAGTGAGAACCTGTCTCAAAATAAGGAATAAAATGTACTAGGAATGTAGCTCATGGATTTGAGGGCCCCTGGTTTCAATCTCTGGTCCAAAAAAAAGAAAGGGGAAAAAAAAAAAAACCTCCACATTTATTTACATTTTCTTAGGCATGAATAAATACATTGAACTAAAGAAAGTACTTTGATTATAGGAAAAAGTTGTTTAGGCTCTTGCTTGGCACACCATACTATGACTAATTTTTCCTCCTAATTAGAGGTTCCACTTGAACTAATATAATATAGATAAACATTTTCTAATATTTCTTACTTTTTTTTTTTTGTTTTTTTTTTTTTTGGTACTGGGGATTGAACTCAGGGACACTTGACCACTGAACCACATCCCCAGCCCTATTTTGTATTTTATTTAGAGACAGGGTCTCACTGAGTTGCTTAGTACCTCCCCATTGCTGAGGCTGGCTTTGAACTCTGGATCCACCTGCCTCAGCCTCCTAAGTTGCTGGGCTTTCAGGTGTGTGCCACTGTGCCTGGCTCTCTCTTGTCTTGATGTATCCAACTTAATTCTTCACTGAAAATTTAGTATAGCAAAATGGTTAATATATTCTCTAGAGTTAGAATTATCTGAATTTGTTTTGTACTCTAGCACATTACTTAATTTCCCTGAGTTTCCAATTTTCTCATCAGTAAATGGAGCTAACAGTTATACCCATTTCTATAGAATGTTTGTGAGGATTAAGAGAGGTTTATCCAAGTAAAAATTTTAACATAGTACCTGCCACATGATTAGTACTCAGATATTAGATGATGATGGTAATATTGTTTCCTTGAATGTTAAATTTTTCAATTCATTAAAAATTATATAAAAATATATAAAATAGTATCAACTTCTATTTAACTTTTTAGTGGAGGACATATATGCAGAAAAGTATACATGTCATAAGTGTATGTGGTGAAATTTAACAAACTGAATACCCCTGTGTAATCCCCAACTCTTAAGAAGCAGAACATTCCCAGAACCCCATCAGTCACTTCATGCTTCCTTCCAGCCACCCACATTGTGAGAAAGTATTCTTCTGCCTTCTGATAGCATAGATGAAGTTTGCCTGATTTTGTCCATAATATGAATAGAATCATGTTATAGTATATATATAGTATCATGGTAATATATGCTTGTATGTCTGGCTTCTTTCATTGGCATTTTATTTGTGAGATTCAGCTATGTCGGTGTGTATAGTAGTAGATCATTTATTTTCATGATTGTTTGTTGTTTAATTGTGGTATATAATACAAATTTATTTGCTAAGTCTCCTATTGATAGGCATTTAGGGAGGATTTCAGTTTAGGCTATTACAGATAGGGCTTCTTTAAATATCCTAGTACATGTCTTATGGAAAATATACATTATAGTTCTTTTATATAGGTCCCTAGGAATAGAACTGATATATAATGTTATATGTACGTTCAATGTTAGTAGAAAAACATAGTCCTTAGCTTGTATTTTTTTTTTCTAAAGATAGAGTGAGAGAGGGAGAGAGAGAGAGAGAATTTTAGTATTTATTTTTTAGTTATCGGCGGACACAACATCTTTGTTTGTATGTGGTGTGAGAATCGAACCCGGGCCGCACGCTGCCAGGCGAGCGCGCTACCGCTTGAGCCACATCCCCAGCCCCTTAGCTTATATTTTTATTTTACTTTTGCTCTAAGAGTTAAAGTCAGCCATAAATTGAGCTTAAGGTTTTGTTTTTTTTTTTTAAGTTGAAGTTGGACACAATACCTTTATTTATTTATTTATTTATTTATTTTTATGTGGTGCTGAGTATTGAATCTTGCGCCTGGCACATGCTAGTTGAGTGCTCTACCACTGAGCCACATCCCCAGCCCCAAGTGTTTTTTCAAATATATTTTTTAGACATTTTGGTAATTATTAGTCAATCCTTAAACTTAAATTACAAAATACCATCCATTTCTTAACTCTAAATTTAAAAGGATCTAATTTTATCAATTACTAGTAGTTGTCGCTGTTGAAAACATAGCATGTGTAAAAAGAAAACAGTTCCCATTATAGAAAATAGGAAGTTGAAAGGGAAAACAATTTGTAAGACTTTGGAGAAGCAGTATAGTATACAGGCTGAGAACTCTGAATTTTGGAGCCAAACTGTCCAGATTTAACTTGTACCTCTGCCATTTTCTAGCTGTATGAATTTGAATTTCCTCTGTAAATGAGGGTAATAGTAGTACATACCCCACAGAATGTAAGAATTGAATAAATTAGTTATATATATGTGTATTTATCTAGATATGTACAGTTCTTAAGACAATGTCTACCACATAATAAATACTCTCTAAAGTTATGTATTCCTCTTTGATTGTTATTTTGGCATTTTTCATCCATTTAGCATTCAGTCCAGACCTTAAGCCTTTTTATGCACTCTACATAAGTGCCCAAGATTTTATCTGGTGGCTCTGCTGTACACTTTCCATTTACCTTATTGTGGAACTTATCATCTGGCACTGTAATTGCCTCTTTACTTACATCTATCACCTTATTAAATGTAAATTCTGTGAGGGGGATGGTATTTCCATTGTATTCACCACTGTACCTCCCCCAGACACAATCTGACACTTAGTGTCAGATTCAATAAATGTTGAATTAGTTAATTATTCAGTTCTCAGGAACCAACCAAATAAAGCCCTAGTGACAGCCAAGAACAGGAATTTAAGGTTTTCTAAGTTTACAGTATGCTGATTGAGATGGTGCCTTAGAAGTAATTATAAAGCTATGAGATTGGTGTTATCTCTGAGGTTACGGCAATGCTTGGAATATCTGGTTTTAGGGGAATTGATTGGATATTAAAAAAATAACTAAATATTTAGGAAAGTTTAAGTTATAAAACATTTTTTTAAATTTTTTCAGTCAATGGGTATTGAGTATTATGTACCATATCTGTACCACATATGTACCATTTTAGTTACACATGACAGTAGAATGTATTTTGACATATTATACATGCATGGAGTAAAACTTCCCATTCTTGTGGTTGTACATGAATATGGAGTTACACTGGTCATATTCATATATAATATAGGAAAGTAATGTCTGATTCATTCTCCTGCCTTTGCTATTCTCTTCCTCTGCCCTTCCCTTCATTCCCTTTTGTCTAATCCAAAATACTTCTGTTCTTTTCTACCTCTCCTTAATGTGTGTTAGCATCTGCATATCAGAGAAAACCTTCGGCCTTTGGTTTTGGAGTATTGGCTTATTTCACTTAGCATGAGAGTCTCCATTTATCGGCAAATGCCATAATTGCATTTTTTAATATTTATTTTTTAGTTGTAGCTGGACACAACACTTTCATTTCACTTGTTTATTTTTCTGTGTGGTGCTGAGGATCAAATCCAGGGTCTCGCACGTGCGAGGCGGGCGCTCTACCGCTGAGCCACAATCCCAGCACCCATAATTGCATTTTTTAAAAAATATATTTTTAGTTGTAGATGGACACAATGCCTGTCTTTCTTTCTTTCTTTCTTTCTTTCTTTCTTTCTTTCTTTCTTTCTTTCTTTCTTTCTTTCTTTCTTTCTTTCTTTCTTTCCTCCCTCCCTCCCTCCCTCCCTCTCTCTCTCTCTCTCTTTCTTTCCTCCCTCCCTCCCTCCCTCCCTCTCTTTCTTTCTTTCTTTCTTTCTTTTTATGTGATGTTAAGGATCAAACCTAGTACCTCACACATGCTACCACTGAGCTACAACATCAGCCCTTAATTGCATTTTTATGGCTAAGTAATATTCCACTGTGTATATATTTTCTTTATCCATTCATTTTTGAAGGGCATCTAGGTTGGTTTCATAATTTAGCTATTGCCTAACACATATTTAAATGGAACCATTTGAACTCGGAATTTAAGATAGTGATGTCATTTGTAATTTGAATTATGTTTGGCAGTTTTGAATGAAAAATAAGACTTTCAGTACCAATTTCAAAAGTCTAATCTATTTTAATTTTAGTTTTGTTCCATTAAAATTCTGATATCTCTAGAAATTTTCATTTGATTTAAATTTTATATCCTTAATTATTAAGGAGAAGGAATGGTTGTCAAGTGGAAGAAAATGTATCAAGTGGAGATTTGAGATAACTACCACAGTCTAGGAATGGATTCCTCCAGGGGAGTCTATTGAGATTTTACAGGAAACTAAAATTTGATCAGACCCTTTCCTATCCAAGTATATTTTTAACATTATACCATATGATTTTCTTTCTATCTCCAAAAGTATTCAAGACCAGATGAATCTGTCAGAAATGTCTGAAGCTCCCTGCCTGGTAGTTGGTGGTTGATAAGTGGTCTCTAAAGTCTTTGGGGGTCATGTGAATCTTTTCTGACTGCTTTCTGTTCTGTTCATTTAATTGTGAAAGCCAAGCAGGGTAATCTAAAATAGACTCTTCTACTTCATAAAATATACTATTAATTTAGATCTGGTAACAATCTGTAAAAACCCAGAACCTTTATGTGAGGAAAATATACTAGAATGGAACACAGAAGACCTGCATTTTAATGTCAGATATGCCAATAATTCTGAAATCTCAAAGAATTCCCTAACCCTCTTGAATCATAACTTTCCCAACTCTACTATGACAAGCTATTGCTTTATTTATAACACAACAGTCAATTAAACTAAATAACTGTTATTAAACTAATAACTAGTGGCAGTGTTGGGGCATTAAGAGTAAGGGAAGGTATTTTTGTTTTGTTTAGTACTGGGAATTGAACACAGGTATGTTTTAGCACTGAGCACATCTCCAGCCCTTTTTATTTTTTATTTTAAGACAGAGTCTCACTTCATTGTTTAGGGCCTCGATAAGTTGCTAAGGCTGGCCTTGAATTCACTTGCGATCCTCTTGTCTCAGTCTCCTAAGCTGCTGGGATTATAGGTGTGCTCCACTATGCCCAGGTAAGAGACAGGGAAGTTTTGTATTTGAGTTAGTGAGTAGAACAAATATGCAGAGGTAAAATTCCAGTTATGATTCCCTAGGCTTTTTAAAGAAATTAATACAGAGTGAGGAACATTACTATTTAAAATATAAAATATGATTTAAAGCAAGTCTCAAGCCAAAAGCAAATCTGAAATAGACTGGTAGAAACTCAAAGTTTTCCTTGATTACATTAAAATCAAGACATAAAAGGAGGTAGTCCTTAAAATACTGGGATAGCATATGAAAAGAAGAACAACTAAATTAGTTGGTAGAGAAAATGTTATTTAAAAAAATGAACCAGAGGCTGACCACATCATGGGGAAAAACACTAGGAAAGGAATACCAGAAATAACTCAGTAAAGGAAAGGAATCTCCCTTGAGCAAAGGAGAGTTAGATTGCCTTGATACTCTGACAATTCTGAAGAAAGTAGTACTATTTCTTAGCTTCTGAACGACTAAAAATAGTAAATGAATGATTTAACTCATTATGACCTTTAGCCAAAAATTATTGTTACTCCATGTTGGTGATTTCAGTTATTACCCAAAGTAATCTTATGATGTCCTTCCAAAAATATAGAATTTCTTGACAGTAACTTTTAAACAGCAAAGTTTTTATTAATTAAAAAAAAAGTGTACTAAGCCTTTTTGATGAAGGAAATTAAATTTTTTATCTATAAAAAGCAAAGATGCAGAAGTATGTTTATTTTCTTTGCCATTATTAATAGGGAAGGCAAATATTTTTTAATCTATGTAGTTTTATTAAAATACACTTGAAAGTCAGTTTGAAGGTAAGTTTTCTCTTAATGAAACACAATATTGATGGGTTGATAATTATTTCTTTTTATAGTTCTACTTGTCCAATTCTGACAAGGAGCGTTATGAAAAGGAATTCAGCCATGAAAGACAACAACAAATTTTGAGAAGAGCAGCAAGAGACTTACCTATCTATACCACATCAGCTTCAAGAAGTAAGAAAAACGGTCTTAAGCTTTCCTTTCCAAATGATTTTTCAAATGTGTTTATTTTGACAGGATATGTTTTATGGTTTAACTATTATGTGGATATATAATGATTACCATAAGCAATATCTGCTGGAATAAGATTTTCTGTTTATATTTCAGATATAGATGAATATATGAATATATTAATACAATTTTTAAGGTGTTCACTTTAATGTAAAATATTTTCTCTATTTTTTCCTCCAGACTCAATCTCAGTTATTATTCCTAGTAAACTGTCATTTAGAAATTCTGATTTGAATTTGACTATTGTGTGTCATCACCGAGTAATAAAAGAAAAACAAAAAGGGAATGTGTTAAAAATGAGAAGTAAAAGATATGAAGGGGAAGAAACCTACTCAAGATTATAAAAGCTGGTATTCTAAAATGAAGCTGTGAGTTCCTCTGCAGTGCTGTCTCCATTGAGATACATGCCTGTTACAACAGTGTTCTTTTCTAAGATTTTTAGCCTCATGATAGGAGTCTATTTTGAGTAGCCAAGCTGATCATTTAAATACATAAAGTTTTTAAAAATTGTATTATATACTTCATCAATTTGTTCAAATACTAGATGATATTAAAAACTTGACAATTTTCTAAGTGCTTTACACATATAAACTCATGTAAACTTCACAATAGCCCTATAAGGTAGATACCAGAGTCCCCATTTTGCAGATGAAGAAGCTAAGACACCGTTTCTGGACAACCTATTCCCACTATATGAGTACTAGTCCCAAAGTGCTACAAGATTGAAGAAAACAGGCAGATCTGGGATTGCAGATCCAGATTGCAGTTTATTGGGGAATTTAAGTGACAGAAGCATGGTCCTGGGTAGCTGCAATATCAAGTGGATCCCTACAGGTTGGGTCAAGAATGGGGGGTTTTGTATTATTGGTCTGTGCCAAAGTGACTTCATCCAAGGTGGAAAGTACCAGGTTTATCTTAAGCTAATGTTAAGAGTCAGGCACATTCCAGGCACCTGGACCAGTTGTAAAACTTTACATACTACTAATGTTTTTTTCTATTTATAGTATGATGGAAACTTCAGGAAAACCAGTTAGAGTTGCTCTGAGGTAGTCAAGGTAGTTAGAACTCAGAATGACTGCAGTATCATCAAACTGAATTCATGCAAGACAGACAGTTGAAGTAACTTGTTCAAGATCATTGTGCTAGTCAGCTTTCTGTTGCTGTGACCAAATTAACTGAGAAGAACATTTAGAGGAAGAAATGTTTATTTTTGGCTCACAGTTTCAGAGTTTTAGTCCATGGTCAGCCAAATCCTCATCAATTCTGGGCCCAAGGTGAGTCAGAACATCATGGCAGAAGGGTATGATGGAGGAAAACTATAAACTACTCAGCATGTGGTAACTGAGAAACAGAAAAGGAAAGGGCCACAGGGAAAATGAACCCTTCAAGAGCATATCCCAAGTGACTCACCACCTTCAGCCATGCCCCACTTCACTACAATTACTATCAGTCTGTTCAAACTAGGATGGACTAATTAGGATACAACTCTCATGATCCAATAATTTTATCTTCTAATATTCCTGGATTAGCACAGGAATTTTAAGAGGACAGCTTATATTTTATAATAGTCATATAGACTGTATATTGGGGGGAAAAAAAACAGATTTAAATCCAGGTGCTCTAACTCTAGGGAGAACTAGAAGGATCTTTACTTTTGTGTAGCTATGACAAATTATGACTCAAGGATGTTTAAAGTGCTAAAATTGTAGAAGGGGTTATTTGACTGACTTTTTAAAATGCACTTAAATACTGTCCCTTTTACATAACTAATATATTATGGTATAGGATAAAAAGTTGAAGCCAGGCTCAGTGGAACATGCTTGTAATCCTAGCAACTCAGGAGGCTGAACTAGGATGATTGTGAGTTTGAGGCCAACCTCAGCAACTTAGCTGTCTCAAAATAAAAAGAAGTGAGGTATCTCAGTGGTAAAGCACCCTGGTTTCAATCCCCAGTACCAAAATAAATAAAAAATAATAATAACATGGACTGCAGATCCAATTCTAGCTTTTTCATGTATGTGAAATAGAGTATATATCTTGGTGTGTAATAATAAATTTTCAGCAGATTTTACTTTCAGTAAATATTTCTAGTAAATTATCTCAAATTTTAATTACATTTTGCTACATTTTTACATTTAATTCTGAAAAATATGGTTTACAATAATTATTAGCAGTTATAGATCTACAAGGTATTTTGAACCCAAGATTCCAGATAATTAATGAATCCCAGAGATCATAGGCAAATTTGGGGTAAGTGTAGTTTTCAGAAAATCCTGTTCATAACAAGTACATGTACTTCTCTGTTTTCAGAGAAGTACATGTACTTCTAAAAGTAAAGAGCCATCAACACTAAAACTTTGCTTTTAAAACTTTACCACTTTTTATTTATTAATTATATAATGGCTTTCTTCTAGCCCAAATAATACCCATTATTACACCAGAATTGTGCTAAGCACTTTAACAACTCTGAGAGAGGTGTTGTACTTGCACAACACCTTTTTGGAGATAAAAAAAAAATAAGGCATAGTAAGGTGGCCAAAGTCCCTGAGTGGGTTTTATATCCTCTCTTCTGACTTTCGGTGGAATCCACTCCCTTGAATACTATTTTATGCTACATTTTTACTGTCTAGAATTCCAAACTCTGAAGGAATTTCTTCTTTTTTCTTATTATAGACCTAATGCATATTGAAGGAAATGGACCTTTCATTTACCAGAGATTAGTAAAATTATTGATGCTGCTTTCATGCAAGGGCAATTGTGGATCAAGTTCAGGGATAGGAGGGACTTTGCACTGAATTCCTCTTTGTACTTTTTTGAGCCAAGTGGACATACTGTCATCTACTCAGAAATGAGTCCTAAATGCTGCTTCTTCCCAGTTTTTATGTTCTACTTCTCAAGGTTGCCCTGTTCCTATTCTTATTTCTGTACTGTCCTTTCAGCTATCACTTTTAATCATGGAGTTCTGATACTACAGTATTGTGATCATTCATTTATTGTGCCTCATAATTTTCTTCTTTAATTAGAACAAATTCAGGCATCTTATACTAACACAAACATTCTAAACCTTGGCTTTGTGCCAGGCAAAGGGTGAAGCTGCAGCTATACACAAGGATTACATGTTTACAGAACACCCTGTGATCTAGCTATATTCTTTCTGTTGTTTCAGGGGGCAGGTGGAGAACTGCAAACTTCGGTCCCACAGAATTCAGTAACCATTATCTATACTTCATATTCACCTTGACATGTGCCTTTGAATTCAGTTATCTGTGGCTCACTGAACTACAGTTCCATTCTTATATTTCCATCTTTCTAAGGATAGCTGTTCTTACATGACCTGTTATCCAAACTCAAACTCATGTAAAACCAAATTCATCCATTTAAAACCTACTTAGGATGATTGTGAGTTTGAGGCCAACCTCAGCAACTTAGCTGTCTCATAGGGGTGGGAAGCAAGTCTGACTTGTTCACCTTTTCCCCTAGCCATCTAGTGATATTTGTCACATGTAAATTCTCTAAATATTCATTGAATGAATAAAGGAATACCCTTTACCCCCACCCACCCTACCTAAATTCTGCTATATTTCTGTCCTTGGCATTATCATTCTTCTAAGCCATCCTTGACAAGAACTTTTACTTCAATTCAGACTTGGAAATCCATCATCAATCCTTGTTTTATAAGATCTATTTGATTTATTCCCACCCAGAGCTCAGTTAATTTTACAACTTCCACAATGTCACATTGTTTAGTGGAGGATATAGGAGAAAGGGAAAATAGGATACTTGATTTCTGATCCTGATCTTATTATTCACTTGGCCTTTCTCTTTGGTATGTGAACCCTTACTTAATATGAGTGACTATATTTTGAGCCTGCTATGTTTTTCTTAATGGAAAATAAATGTATTTTGTATGGAAAATGTTTGTTTGCATAGTATTTCACAGTATGGATATACCATAAAAAATGCTTAACCATTTTTCTAAATCAAATTATTTGTTTTAATAAAAACAATGCTATGATGAACATCTCTATTCCTCACTCTTCTTCAAACAGGCCAAGCATGTTCCTGCATCAGGCTCTGGTTAGAATCCCCTTTTTCCCAGATAGTAATATGTCTCACTTACTAATATGTTTCTTTTCAATTTTGAACTCACTTCAATTTCAGTTTTCTCAGATGTTTCTAAAATTACCATTCCTCTTCTCTGCTCTCTGTGCTACCACTGTCTAATGCACTATTTATTTTAACTTATTCATTATTCCTCATCTTTTTTGGGGAGAGGGGTACCAGGAATTGAACTCAGGGGCATTCAACCAGTGAGCCACACCCCCAGTCCTTTATTTGTATTTTGTTTAGAGACAGGTTCTCACTGAGTTGCTTAGTGCCTCGATGTTGCTGAGGCTGGCTTTGAACTCACAATCCTCCTGCCTCAGCCTCCCTAGCTGCTGGGATTACAGATGTGTATCACCACACCTGGCTCCTCATCTCGTCTTACAGAATGTAAATTGTATGAAGGCAGAGATTTTTGTTATTGTTACTGTTTTTAGATATACATGACAGTAGAGTGTATTTTTGACATATTTTACATACTTGGCGTACAACCCATTCCAATTAGGATTCCATTCTGTGGTTGTACATAATGTGAAGTCACATTGGTCGTGTATTCATATATGAGCAAAGAAAAGTTATGTCCAATACATTCTACTGTGTTTCCTAGCCCTATACTCCCTACCTTTCTTTCATTCTCCTTTATCCAATCCAATGAGCTTCTATTCTTCTCCTCCCTACCCTCCCTTGTTGTAGGTTAGCATTCACATATCAGAGAAAACATTTGGCCTTTGTTTTGAGAGGACTATTATTTCACTTAGCATGATATTCTCCAGTTTCATCCATTTACCAGCAAATGGCATAATATCATTCTTCTTTAAGGCTGAGTAGTATTCCATTATGTATGTATACAACAGATTCTTTATCTGTTCATCGTTTTTTTAAATTTAATTTTATTTTTTACACAATGGAGCACAACTTTTTATTTCTCTTGTTGTACATGATGTAGTCACACCATTTGTGCAGTCATCCCCACATAGAGGATAATAATGTCATCTCATTACATCATCTCCCTCCTACCCCCTTCCCTCCCCTCCCCTCCCCTCCCCTCCCCTCCTTCTCCTCTGCCCAATCCAAAGTTCCTCCATTCTTCCCTTGCCCTACCCCTCCCCCCCTTATGGATTAGAATTCACATATCAGAGAAAACATTTGGCCTTTGGTTTTGGGGGATTGGCTTACTTTGCTTAGCATGATATTCTCCAACTCCATCCGTTTACCTGTAAATGCCATAATTTCATTCTTCTTTAATGCTGAGTAATATTCCATTGTGTATGTATACCACAATTTCTTTATCCATTCATCTTTGGAAGGGCCTCTAGGTTGGTTCCACAGTATAGTTATTGTGAATTGAGCTGCTATAAACATTGAGGTGGCTGCCTCACTGTAGTATGCTGATTTTAAGGCCTTTGGGTATAGACTGAGGAGTGGGATAGCTGGGTCAAATGGTGGTTCCATTCTAAATTTTCTAAGGAATCTCCATACTGCTTTCCAAAGTGGTTGCAAAATTTTGCAGTCCTCCCAGAAATGAATCAGTATATCTTTTTCCCTATGTCTTCACCAGCACCCATTGTTGCTTGAATTCTTGATAATTGCCATTCTGACTAGAGTGAGATGAAATCTTAGAGTAATATTGATTTGCATTTCTCTAATTGATGGAGATGTTGAACATTTTTTCGTATATATGTTGATCAGTTGTATTTCTTCTTCTGTGAAGTGTCTGCTCACTTGGATTATTTGGGTTTTTTATTTTTTATTTTTATTTATTTATTATTTATTTAGTTGTAGATGGACACAATATCTTTATTTTTATTTGTTTATTTTTATGTGGTGCTGAGGATTGAACCCAGGGCCTCATGTGTTCGAGGCCAATGCTCTGCCACTGAGCTACAACCCCAGCTCCTATTGGGGTTTTTTTGGTGTTAAGTTTTTTGAGTTCTTTATATATCCTAGAGATTAATGCTCTGATGTGCGCATTGTAAATATTTTCTCCCATTCTGTTGGCTCTCCATTCACTTTCTTGATTGTTTTCTTTGCTGCAAAGAAGCTTTTTAGTTTGAATCCATCCCATTTTATTGATTCTTGATTTTATTTCTTATGCTTTAGGAGTCTGTTAGGAAGTCTGGTTCTAAGCTGACATGATGAAGATTTGGGCTTGCTTTTTCTTCTATTAGGTGCAGAGTCTCTGGTCTAATTCCTAGGCCCTTGATCCACTTTGAGTTGAGTTTTGTGCAAGGTGAAAGAAAGGTAGATGTTTAATTTTATTTTGCTGCATATGGATTTCCAGTTTTCCCAGCACCATTTGTTGAAGAGGGTGTCTTTTCTCCAATGTTTTTGGTGCCTTTGTCTAGTATGAGATAACTGTATTTATATGGGTTTGTCTCTTTGTCCTCTATTCTGTACCATTGGTCTACATGTCTATTTTGGTGCCAATACCATGCCATTTTCTTTATTACTATATCTCTATAATATAGTCTGGTGTTTTGATGCCTCTTGCTTCACTCTTCTTGCTAAAGAATTCTTTGGCTATTCTGGGTCTCTTATTTTTCCAAATGAATTTCATGATTGGTTTTTCTGTTTTTATGAGGAATGTCATTGGGATTTTGATTGGAATTGTATTGAATCTGTATAATGCTTTCGGTCCCATTCATCTGTTGAGGGACACCTAGGTTGGTTCTATGGCTTATCTTTTGTTGACTTGAGCTGCCGTAAACATTGAGGGCGCTGCGTCACTGTAGTATGCTGATTTTAAATCCTTTGGGTATAAACCAAGGAGTGAGATAACTGTGTCAAATGGTGGTTCCATTCTAAATTTTCTAAGGAATCTCCATACTGCTTTCCAGAGTGGTTGCACCAGTTTGCACCCACTTTTCCTCCACATTCTTCCCAGCATTTATTATTATTTGTATTCTTGACAATTGCCATTCTGACTGGAGAGAGATGAAATCTCAGTGTAGTTTTTTTTTTATTTTTATTTTTTTTAATATTTACTTTTTAGTTTTCGGCGGACACAACATCTTCGTTTGTATGTGGTGCTGAGGATCGAACCCAGGCCGCACACATGCCAGGCGAGCACGCTACTGCTTGAGCCACATCCCCAGCCCTCAGTGTAGTTTTAATTTGCATATCTGTAATTGCTAGAGATAGTGAACATTTTTTCATATATTTGTTGACCATTTGTAGTTCTTCTGTGAAGTGCCTGTTCAGTTCCTTTGTGCATTTATTGATTGGGTCATTTGGGGGTTTTTTTAAATATTTTTTTTTAGTTGTTGATGGACCTTTATTTTATTTATTTGTATATGGTGCTGAGAATCAAACCCAGTGCCTCACGCATGCTAGGCAAGCGCTCTACCACTGAGCCACAACCCTAGCCCCCTTGGGTTGTTTTGTTGTTGTTGTTGGGTTGTTTGTGTGTTTGTTTTGATGTGTGTGTGTGTATGTGTGTTAATTTTTAAGTTCTTTATATATCCTGGAGATTAATGCTCTATCTGAAGTGCAGGTGGCAAAGATTTTGTAAGCTCTCTGTCACGTTCTTGATTGTTTCTTTTCTGTGAAGCAGATTTTTAGTTTGATACCATCCCATTTATTGATTCCTGATTTTACTTCTTGTGCTTTAGGACTCTTATTGAGGAAATCGTTTCCCAAACCAACATGATGGAGAGTTGAACCTATTTTTCTTCTAGTAGGCGCAGAATCTTGGGTGTAATGCCTAGGTCCTTGATCCACTTTTAAGTTGAATTGTATTCAGGGTGATGATAGGGGTTAAACTTCAATCTACTACATATGGATTTCCAGTTTTCTCAGCCCCATACATTTCTCCAATGTATGTTTATGATGGAAGGCAGAAATTTTTGCCTAGAACAATATCTGGCAGCTAGAAGGTGCTCAGTATCTTGAATGAATGAATGTATGAATTGGGCAATAGTAGCATATATTAGAATTTAGTGGGAAACAGTTTTTTCTTAAAAATGTATTCTCTGTTTGGAATTAGGGATGACAGAAAAAATATATTTTTTAATTAAAGCTGTTTCAGAATTTCAAAACCCAAGTTCCATAGAATGCCTTAAAATATAAATTTGATATTTTACCTTAGACATTGTGGTATAGTAGGAAAAACACTGGGTTTAGGACTTAGTAAATCTGAGTTTTGTACTAGTTGCACTGCTTACCTCTGCATTTAACATTTGTTTTGGATTTACTTTAATTTGAAAACTGCTGGGATAACACAGTTTTGAGGTTCTTTTCTATTTCTTGACATTTTCATTTGAGAAACTTTCCAGTCCATTTTTACTTTAGGTTAAAATTATTAGTTGTTGATTTCCCAAAGTTTTTCATTTTAAAATGTTAAGATTTGTGTTCAAGTTAGTTAAGCTCGTACCTTCTTCAGCATCTTCCTTTTCTTTCATGTAGCTATCAGATATTGTGAAAAATGTCAGTTGATTAAACCTGATCGGGCACATCACTGCTCAGCATGTGACAAGTAAGTGTTCCTCGTTTGCTTTTATTTAAACCTAGCACTGAATATTGGTGATAGAAGTGAGAGGAGGGAACTTTTTTCATATTTTATACTTATTCAAAGCATTTCATCCTCTCCCTTTATTTTCTATGCACAGAGAACTAACAAAAATATTTATATAAGCTAGAATATACCTAGAAGTAATTTTTGATAAGCTTCATGTCTAGTTTGTAGGATTTTTTTAAGTATGCTTTCTATGCTTGTGCTTAAGGTAATATTGATGAGCAAATAGTTGATAATCCCCTTGAGAAAGAAACTTTATTTCCTGGATTAGAAAGATTATTCTGATTCTTTTCTTTTCTTTTTTAAATTGATGTTGATATTAAAAACCAAAAAAACACCAAAATAACTTAACAGTTGTTTTCAGTTATCATCCTAACATCTTAACTGGAAAAATTTCAAAGAATTTAGTTCTAATACATAAGTGAGAAGGTGGTATGTTAAAAGAAAGATCATTAAATGGGAATCACACTAATCTTTACTTTTAGTTAGACAAACTACTTAACTTTCTAGGTATTAGATTACTCATTTATTGTATTATTTGAGATGATCTATAGTCTAATTTTATACAAACAAAATATGTATCCCAATAGAAGGGCAAATTTGGGGTTTTATAAAACATGGAAAAAATAACCATGTCTAAGCCCATCACTGTTAATGTTTTTACATATTTGATTCTAAAGTTTTATTTTTATGACCTGCAGATGTTTAAATAACAAAGGGATAATCTGTTTTCCATTTTATCTCCTTCAGCAAATTTTCAAGCTGGACTTCTCTAATAATCAAAGTATTTCCTCAGATCTAATATTAAAATGTTATTTTTTTCTTTTTTTAATTAGTTATATATGACAATAGAATGTATTTTGATATATTGCAAAATGTCATTTAATGTGATACAGTGTAACTGGATATTCTCAGCTTACTTCCCAGTGTAAAAAATTTATGACCTCTTACCATAGAAGTACTTGTAGCCATACCAGAAATTATCTCTGCCCTGATGTTTCTCTGTTGGTTCTCTAAGATACAGTTTTAAAGGGAAATTTTTAAGTCAAATAAAATAAAATTATGACAAAATAGGGAATTTTTCTGCATGGATTTTCTTATGTTTATTTGTTTCTTAGATGTATTCTTAAGATGGATCATCACTGTCCTTGGTATGTATAAAAAATGGAGGAAATGGCATAAGAGGGTGGAAAGGTGGGAGGAGAGAATTTTTAGAATGATTATTTCAATTTCAATTTTTTTTGATGCTAAGAGATTAAACCCAGGGTCCCATGCATACCAAATATGTTCTATTGCTGAACTACACCCCCAGCCCCAGTATTTTATATTTTGAATGTTAATTTAATTACAGATATTATGATTGATCTATTTATATATTTGCCTATATGCATAGGGACATTATTTATCTATTTTTCTTTAAAAATATTTTTTAATGTTATTAACCCCCAAAATTAGTGTGTTAAGAATTAACATTAAAATCCTGTATTTCTTCTAGAATTCATTAAAAACACATATCCATAGTTAAGATACTGCTTCCTGCTTCACAAATGGCTACTTCCAAGTAATAATAATTTAAGTGTTCTGACTTATCTTTTTTTTATTATGGCAAAAAACACATAACATAAAATTTACTGTCTTAACCACTTGAAAGAATTTAGTTCTTATTCACAAGTGAGAAAATAACATGTTATACCTAAGTAGATATTTCATTAGTGTTTACCTTGTTGTACAGTCTCCAGTACTTTAAATCTTATAAAATTGCAACTCTGTTCTCATTAACCAGTTCCCCATTTCCTTCACCCTCTTCCCCTTCACAACCTCCATTCTAGAATCTTTCTATTTCTATGAATTTGTGTTTTGTCTTATTTTTATAGTGTGACTTTCTTTATTCTTCTAGGGTGAATAACTGTGTGGGATTTTCTAATTACAAATTCTTCATGCTGTTTTTATTGTATTCCCTAATATATTGCCTTTACGTGGCTATATCAGTTTTAGAGTACTTTATAAAATTTTGGACGGTAAGTCTTTTTTCTATCCTAAAACATATATTAAATATTTTTAAGGTGTTGGGTTTTTAAAGAATTACTTTATTCTTCATTATAAGTAGATATAATTAATTTTACTAGCTAGAATTTATAATGGTATAGAGGGCAGGGCTACAGTTTACCTTTTTATACACATTTATTCATAAGTAAAGGTACGTTACACCACAAATAGTGAGTTTCTTTTAGTAATCCAAATTGTACTTAACCACACTGTAATAAAGGCATATCAAGTTTAAGGAAATAATTGCCTTTCTTGGACTTAATGAGACTTATTACAGTTTTACAGTAAAAGTGGCATCCTCAGCTACAGGCACCCACTAACATGCTTCCTGTCTGTATAAATTTTCCACCATTTTTAAAAATGGCAAATGGCTGAAAATAATCAAATGTTTTATCAACAGGGGACTAATTAAGTTATTATGTATCTATACAGAGGATGTAGTATAGCTTAAGAAAGAATAAAGAAGCTCTTTATGACAAATGATGTGATCTTTGAGATGTGTTATATGGAGGGAAAAAGACCCCAAAAGAACACATACAGTATGCTCCCATTTATATATGAAAATAAATATAAGCATATACTGTCTTCTGAAAGAAAGCATTAAAAAGTTGCTAATAGGGGCTGGGGATATAGCTCAGTTGGTAGAGTGTTGGCCTCATATCAATCCCCAGCACCACCAAAAATAAATAAATAAATAGATAGATAAAGTTGCTAATGATAGTTGCCTCTGGAAGGACAATAAGGAAAGAGAGACATGGTTTTTACAGTTTTCCATTAAATTTTGTATACAATGTACAGATAGCAATCTAATTAAAATAATTAATAAAGTTTAAATATTTTAAAGTATTTAATTATGTTCTTTGGGTGGGGGGAAAATGCCAGAAATGTGAAGAGGTGCTGCCTGTTGGCGGTGCTGTAGAAAACTGTTATTTTCCAGTGATAGCTTTTTAGCATTGTTTGATTTGTTGTTGTTGTTGTTTGTTCATGTACTATTTATTAAAATTTAGAAATGATTTTAAAATACATTAAAACTCTCTCCCTTCATTTAAACCTCTAACTTTCTTGCTATTATTTATATCACTTTTCTCTCATCTCCCATAAATGTAGGTTCCATCCCTAGCTGCTACATTCTTGATTATCTCTAATTGTTCCTGGTGGTCATGTGTACTTCTGTGGCATTCACAGTCACGCCTCAGCCCTAGCTTTAACACTGCTGAATCCTAGTTCCTAATCTCCAGTTGCTATTTTTTTCAACATAGATATGATGAAGATGTCTCAAATCAATGTCATGTTATTTTCGTTACATTGTTCTTCCTATGTTTATCTGATATAATGGGAACAAAACCTATACAAACCTATCAATTGCTGGGGTAGGAAAATTAATGTCATCTTTGAATTATTAAACATAGAATCAAAGTAGTATACTAGAAAAAGAAACAGGCTTACTTTAAATACAAACATCTTTTATAATCTAAGATACATGAAAGCAAGAATTTTTGCCTTGCTAGGTACTGTGGTACCCACCTGTAATTGTAATCCCAGTGGCTCTGGAGGCTAAGGCAGGAGGATAGAAAGTTCAAAGCCAGCCTCAGGAATTTAGTATGGCCCTAAGCAATTTAAATACCTTGTCTCAAAAAAAAAAAAAAGTGCCCCCCCCCCAGGGTGTTGGGGGGATATGGCTCAATGGTTAAGCATGTCTGGGTTCAATCCTTGATACCAAAAAAGAAAAAAAGGTGTTTTTGGTTTTTTTCCTCCATTCATTGATATAGAGTACTACCTGGCACACAGCAGATGTTCAGTAAATATTAGCCAGTTAAGATAATTAAACTTTAGTTTATTTTTTTATTATTAAAATTTTAAGTAATACTGATCTCATAGAATTGATGTGAGGATTAAATTAGTATAAATATTTGATGAGATAGAAAGCATTCAGTAAATGTCTTTGAATTTGTTTTTTCCAATTCATTGTGCCTCAGAGCATTACTACTCCTAAGCCATATCTGTCCCGTAATTCCATCTTTATCCTCTCCCTTTATTCAATTTAGTGCCTGCTAATTTATGAACAAGATATAAAAACTCCTTTTATTTTGCATATGCCTAAGAGCATGTGTTTACTAGCCATTAGCATGTCTTTTTTGTGAAATCTCTTTTTTGTTCTTTGCCCATTTTTTTCTGGTAGGTTGAAATATTTATATAGCAAATAATTTCTTATTGATCTTGGTGTGTATGAACATTTCTTAAATAGAATATAGGAACCACTAATGATGCAAGAAAAGATGTATAAATTGAACTCCATTAAAATTAAGAATTTCTTTTAGTTAGGCACCATAGTATGCCTTTAGTCCTAGCTACTCAGGAAGCTGAGTCAGAAGGTTTGCTTGAGTCCTGGAGTTTTTCATAATTCTGGGCAACAGAGCAAAATCCAGTCTCCTTAAAAATAAATAAATAAATAAGTTTTTATTAAAAAGCAGCTCTTAGGGCTGGGATTGTGGCTCAAGGGGTAGAATGCTCACCTTGAATGAGGCACTGGGTTTGATCCTCAGCACCACATAAAAATAAATAAATAAAGGTATTAAAAAAAAAAAAAAGGCAGCTCTTAAAGCCAAATGCAGTAGCTCATACCTGTTGCCCCAGCCACTCAGGAGGCTGAGACAGGAGGGATCCTAAGTTTAAGACCAGACTGAGCAACTTAGTGAGATCCTGTTTCAAAAAAAAGAGTGGAGTGGGGATGGTGCTCAGTGGTAGAGCACTCCTGGGTTCACTCTCCAGTGCAGCAAAGAAAAAAAGCTCCTCTTGAAGTGAAAAGGCAAGTCTGGGAGAAGATATTTGCAAGGTATCACAAAGGACTCATTGAGAATAATGAAGCATGTCTAAAGATATTAATTCTTTTTCTACCCCATGTCATAAATATTTTTTCCACATTTTTTGTTGATATCTGCTGTTTTGTTTTAATCAAAATTAAATTTCTTCTTTTTTTATAAATATGGCCTTTTTATGATTTCTCACTGTTGCCTGTTCAGTGCAAGTTTATGCAAAAATTCACCAGTTTTCTTCTGGTACTTTTTATTGTTTTCACTTTTACATTTAAATCTTTGATTTTTGAAGGGGAAATTATTGTGTTTAAAAGTTTCTTTCACATTTGTTCTTTCTAAAAACCCTGTGAAGATTTTTTTTTTAATATTTATTTTTTAGGTGTAGTTGGACACAATGCCTTTATTTTATTTATTTATTTTTATGTGGTGCTGAGGATCAAACCCAGGGCCAGGGCTAGGCCAGCAGAGCACTCTACCACTCCAGCCCCCTGTGAAGATGTTTTAAAATGCGAGGCTTTTGTTGTTGTTGTTGTTGTTGTTTTTAATTTAGGTATAGTAAGGCCCATAAGTCAGGAGCCAGTTGCCATTGCAAAGATATTTATTTACTCATAGTCCTCAAAAGAGGGTACACCTTGATGGGAAGCCTCTCAGGGCCTGGTTATTTAGGAGGCATAAAGAGGGAGGGCCAGAACCTGTTTTGTGGTTTCTCTGGGAATGCCAAAAACAGATTTAAGATTGGCCATCTCTAGTTGTCTTATAGACCTGGCCCTGAAAAATGGGGCAGAGGAGTATTGCCCCCTGTAGTGTAAAAGCCTGGTGGAGGAGGTGGTTGGGAATTTGGGCTCTGGATTAGTTAGTTTGCATATGAAAGGAAGGTGGTCTCTCCCCAGGTCAGCAAAACTCTAATAAGGCAAAGCATCAGGAATACAGAGAACAAGAAAAGTGGTTTAATACAGAGGATCAGTTATGGTTTTCAGAGTTATTAACTGAGATTGAGAAGTTAAGTAACCACCCAAGTTCACTTATTTAGTAGTATTAGAAGCCAGAATTGACACTTGGATCTGTCCATCCCAGCATCCACTGTCTACTTGCTCCCTGTAGTCAACATATTTAAAGCCCTGAGTCACAGAGCACAATTATGTTATTATCTAATAAATTTAAGAAGAATTTTTGTTTAAACATCATTAGACTTTTAAAGTTTGGGTATTTAAAACCAGGGAGTTGGACTGAGGTTATAGCTCAGTGATAGAACTATTGAGATCCCCAGCACTGATCCTCTCACAGGAAACAAAACCAGAGGCTGTTGGCACTTAAAATACCTTTGTATGGATTTAAGGAGAGCACCAATCCCAACTCTGTGGTCTTAGTACCCAGATTTTGGCCTCTGTTGTCCTGCTTTGCTGGGCATGTTTGTTCAGTTTACAACCCATTAGCCATACGTAGTGTCCCTATTTAAAGAGGATTCAGTGCCAGATAATTAAAGTCAAAATTGCATAATTTCATATTTGTCTGTGAGAAAATTCAGTAGCATTTGAATGTAATAGCAGTTATTTAAGAAGAAATGTTTTTAGGGCTGGGCCTGGTAGTGCATGCCAGCAATCCCAGCAGCTCAGGAGGCTGAGTCAGGAGGATTGTGAGTTCAAAGCCAGCCTCAGCAAAAGTGAGGCATTAAACAACTCAGTGAGATCCTGTCTCTAAATTTAAAAAATACAAAATAAGGCTGGGGATGTGGCTCAGTAGTCAAGTGCCCCTGAGTTCAATCCCCAATATTCCCCCCCAAATCTACCTTTTTCTTCATTTAGCAAATACTTATTTAGTACTTATTCTGTGCCAGTTTTCTGAGAAGTTGGGATATGTAAGTGAAAAAACAAAGAATCATAGTTTTTTAAGAGCTTACTTTTAAGAAAAGGGAAACAAATAATAAAAGGAGATGAGAGTAAGGGATCTGTTGATTTTGTGTTTGTGCGGCAGGTGATAGGCAAATTACGTCTTTTTAAAGAAACATAGGGTGGGCTTCATTAAGAAAGTAGAATTTGAGCAAAGACTTGAAGGGGATTCGAGAATTTCAGAGAGAAGGGCATTTCAGGTTGAGGGAACTTAAGTTTCCTCAAGTTTGAGGGATGTTTGAGCAACAGCAAGGAGACTATTGTAAGTAGCTGGAGTAGACTAAGCACCTAAGGGGAAGCTCAGGTGAGCCGTGGGCCAAGGGAAAGGGCCTTGGAAAGTTAAGACGACTATGGCTTTTACTCTGGTAAAATACAGGAGTGACATGATCTGACTTGTAAAAGTGACGGTCACTCTGATTACTGAGCTGACACCAGATGGTAGAGGGCAAGAGTCAACACAGTCACAGCAAGATAGTAGCACCAAAGGTGGTAAGAAGTCATCTAGTTTTTGTTAATCAGAAGTTTAAAGAAATATATATTTTAAAAAATATTTTGGCTTTATTCTCTCTAGACAGATCTCTGTTTTATTTTAAACACTGAGTAGAAAAGTGCATATCTAAAGGTACCTGAAATGTTCTTAAAGAACTAAGTGTTCTTGATATTTTCTCTTGTGTTTTTTGAGAAAATGTTGTGAGAGAGCAACACTACGAGCAACATCTTAGAATCCCTTTAAAACCTACAGGATTTATAAAACCTAGTGTTTGTATAAAAATTGGTTTCTTAATACATTGTCTCTATTTATACAAGCTTTGCCGCAGGAAATCTACAGACAATTGTCCAAAGGTAAAACACATTGTTGCCATGACATTCTCATGATCTCTTTTATGACATTTACAGTGAATGTATATAATAAAAATTTGTTTCATGACATGGTGAGATAGAAGAATCACTTAATATGTTTAAAAGATAAAACGATTACTTTGGGAGGGAAAAAAAAAAGAAATATCACAATAATGAAGGATGGGGGGTATAGATATAGCTCAGTGATAGAGTATCATAAGGCCTTGGGTTCAATACCCAGCACACAAGAAAAAAAAATAAAAAGACTTATGAAAAAGAATAATGCAAATAACTTTTTTTCATGTTATTTTTCAAATCAAAAGGGGAAGCCTTTTGTTCTGATTGAGAAGGTGTTTTGCCTATAGTTTCATTTTAAGAATTAATAGCATTTAAAGGTTTCCTCTTCCTCCTATTAATAGATGCTAATTTCTTCTAGGTTAAGACTTTGCTTCTATTAAAATGCATGTAGCTGAGAGCCGGGCATGGTGGCGCAGGCCTATAATCCCAGTGGCTCTGGAAGCTGAGGCAGGTGGATCGCAAGTTCAAAGCCAGCCTCAGCAACTTAGTGAGGCCCTATGCAACTTAGTGAGACCCTGCTCACAAAATAAAAAGTGCCTCTGGGTTCAATTGCTGGTACCACTCCCACCCCCCCCAAAATTCATGAAACTATAAGAAGGAATAACAGAGACACTGTTTTCAATCATTAATACCTTGTAGTATTTATGAAAAATTTCAATTTCCTATAAAGGTAGGAATCAGAGCAGCTAAAAGCATGGACACTTTCAAAGTGGTGTTCCAAAAACAGATTATAGAAGCATAAAAATAAACTTAAATATATCACAATTAGTTTCAGTTACAGTATTATTAAAATAATAAATATTTTAGTATAAATGTACAAGTATTTACCTGTACATTCTGGATGTTGAAAAAAGTTAAATATACATATAAAGTACAAAAGAAAATTATTGGATAGAAGAGTCCCATCTTTTCATTTTATTATAAGTATTCCTAAAATTTTTTTTTTTAGGAGGAATTTTTAAATGACTCTCTCTGACATCACATTTAAGCAACCTACTTTGATAATACCAATTCTTTGCTTTTACAATTATTGTTTTGGAATATATATTACCTGTTTAATTATCCTTCATATCTGGCTTTTTGATACATTCAACAATCTGTAGGCAGAACTAATACATTATACATTACATTTTAGAGGTTCAGTATCCTCAAACTTTTCTTTTTTCTTTCCTCAGAATGAATTGACAGATACACGTGCAAAATTCCACGTACTTTTTCTTTTCTTTGTGTCTGCAATGTTCTTCATCAGCGTTCTTTCACTCTTCAGCTACCACTGCTGGCTAGTTGGAAAAAATAGAACAACTATAGGTAAGTAGGCTAAAATAAATTATAACTATTTAGGAAAAGAACCACAAATGAATATGTAATCTAGAGAAGGAGAGTAAAAGAATTATCAAATAATTTTGTGTTTAAGTAAACTGATTGGATCCATTTATTATATAATACATATGAAGGATCATTGTGTTGAAGGATGAAGAAGTAAAATTGATTTTTATATATACTTTCAGTAATGCATTCTGTATAAAACTATTTTATAAATTTTAATAAAAGTTACTTCCTGGGAGCTGGGGTTGTGGCTCAGCAGTAGAGCACTCGTCTACACGTGCGAGGCCCTGGGTTTGGTCCTCAGCACCACATAAAAATAAATAAATAAAATAAGGTATTGTGTCCAACTACTTCTAAAATATAAATGTTTTTTTTAAAAAAAACTTACCTCCTACATTTATACAGTATCTTTTAAAAAACAAATCAATGAAAGATAGACAAAGTTTTCATGCTTAAAGGAAGTTCATCCACTGAGAGCCAAAACATGTTTTAATTACAGTTTACCTTTTTAGCTAAAACTCGTCAACAACATATTTCTTTATATTTTCCCTCACAATTACACATTTAACTGGCAGATGTTCTGTAGTTAAAGCTAAAGAATAGTGTTTTTGATGTGTCATTATTTCCATCTTTGTGTCAGTTGGCAGTGAAACTTAATGCACTGTATCACTAGTATCAGCATTTTTTTTTTTTTTTTGCTTATTTTTAAAAATCAGAATATTGGGGAAAAATTCAGTGAGGTATTCAAGTAATTGGACAAACATTTTTAACCAAAGGAGATGGCATTTCAGCCACCCTAATGTGTTTTTTTTTATATATTTATTTTTTAGTTGTAGTTGGACATAATACTTTTATTGTATTTATTTACTTTTATGTGGTGCTGAGGATTGAACCCAGGGCCTCACACATGGTAGGCAAGCACTCTACCTCTGAGCCATAACCCCAGCCCCCCTAGTGTGTTTTAATTGAAACATTTATGTAACTACTAATGTACCAAGACAAAGAATAGTGGTTTCTGTAATGTTTCATAGAAAAATAAAGACCATGTGCTATCTGATTGTCCAAAGGTAATAATTCAACTCTGTGAGGAGAATTGGAAGGAAATAGTTTTTAATTCGGAAAAATGAGCAGAGATTTTAGAGAAGCATTTAGATCATTCTAATCTATTATGTTACTGGGTCATGTAAGTTTCAGTGGTCTTCAATTGTAAGGATTTCTTTGCCCTTTCTTCCCCAGCTCAATCTCCATTGTTGAATTCTCTTCCAGTTCCATCATGTCTGCATTCCTTTTCTGTGTAAATAAATTTTCTTATATATATATTTTTTTAATGGAAGAATCACAGTTCTCTCTCATTCTGTTTTTTTTTTTTTTAAAGAGAGAATTTTTTTTAAATTTTTTTTTTTATTTTTTAGTTTTTGGCGGACACAACATCTTTGTTTGTATGTGGTGCTGAGGATCGAACCTGGGCCGCACGCATGCCAGGCGAGCGCGCTACCACTTGAGCCACATCCCCAGCCCTAAATTTCCTTATATTTATTAACTAAATTATTGGTCTTCTTCATAGAAGAATTATTGGTCTTCTTCATACCGCCTTACCCTTAATCAGAGATGACAGAGTTGGCCTACATGCAAAGCTCAGAGTTTAAAACCCCCATATTAATTAAAAACTAAGTGATTTCACATAGAAAACCAGAATTATTCTTTTTTAAAATTGACAAATCTGGTAGTGGTAAGCACATCTTAGAATTTAATAGTAGCCAACTGCTAATAGATGGGGAATGAACAGTTTAATTTGCTACAGCTCTCACTGAGCCTGTTTCATTTCCCATCCTTTTAGTATTTGAGGGATTGGAATTTCCAGGGAACTCACTGTTCTTTCTGAATAATCTTTTTCAAAAAATTTATTTGAAGTTGAATATTTCTTTATTATTTTGCTGCAAACCTGTTGTTTGACTGTATAAAAATAACACCAGCAAATGCAGAATATTATAAAATTAAGACAGTATTGTTCTTTTGACACTATACAACAAATACTTTCCTCCATTCCCAGTTTTTTCCAGTGGGAAGATCAGTAAGTATATTGATCCAAATCCAGGAGTGGATATAAGCAAGTTACAGTTTTATAGAAGGCTTATAACAAGATTATCTTTGACGTACATACTTTTATTTTAGTTGTAGATGAACAGAATGCCTTTATTTTATTTATTTTTATGTGGTGTTAATCATCGAACCCAGTACCTCACACATGCTAGGCAAGGAGCCACTGAACTAAAGCCCCAGGCCACATACATGCTTTGTTTCTTTCTTTTTTTAAAAAATATTTATTTTTTTAGTTGTAGTTAGACACAATACCCTTACTTTATTTATTTTATATGTGGTGCTGAGGATCAAACCTAGGGCCTCACACGTACTAAGTGAGCACTTGACCGCTGAGGCACAACCCCAGCCCACCGTAGTAGTTTTTACCACAGATAGTTATGTGAATTCTGATACCAGAGTCTAAAGCCTCTCTAAAAATCATAAAGATCTGTAAAAATGATACAGTTGTGTTTATCTGCAGTCATTGGCAAGTTCAGGGTATCTTTTTCCAGTTACAGTGTTAAGAGTAGTTTCTTTTTTAAGTCTTTTCTCTACCACTAATTTAAGACAACTATGCTGAAGTAATGGGGTACCATTTTCACTCTAATAGATTTTACATATTTCTCATATGCTTCTTCGCTCAGTAGGTCATCTAGTTCTGAAGGGTCACTCAGTATTATCTTCATCAACCAATCATCTTTATATAAGATTTGTTCACAAACTCTAGATTTTCTTCAGGTGCCTCACTAATTTCAATTTCTTCTCCTGATAGAGGAAAAAGAGTTCTCTGGCAACTTTCACACTTTTCAAAGCACCAAACTCTTTTTGTTGTTTCAATTTTCTTCCAGTTTCAGGCAGACTACGGTAAACAACATTTCCCAGAACTTCCTGTGCCAAAATGCTGATTCCTAACTATTCCAATACCATTTTCTGTAGTTATCCATTCATGTTCCTCAGGGAATTTACACATGAGAGGCAGAGTAGGTCCCATATGCAGCATCTAGACGGCGCCTACCCTCAGCCACCAAGGCCATGGTAGGCTCGGCACAGTGGACCTGGGGCTGAATACAGGCCTTAGGTCGTAGCTTCAGGCTCTACACCATTTGCAGCACTGTGTTCATAAAGCTACCACGGGTATCCCTGCTCTGCCTCTCAACCACTGGTGGCCAGGGCTAAAGTGACACCTTTTCAAAATTTTTTGTTAGTGACCACAGTAAGAAACACATCATTGTATATCTTGACTTAGTACATATATAAAATACTTAAAATTATATAAATAAGCAAAAATTTCACAAAATGTCATTAATGTGAACTACGTACATGGCACTCATTTTGTGATCTAGTTTGTAATCAACTAAATTGATTATATGACCACACATTGAAAAACACATTGCCTTAGCATACCGTTTTCTTCATAGTCTCATCTTCCCGAACCCTGTGTCTTTGGCTAGTGTTCTACTGTTCATCCAGATTTTTATTCTTCTGTCCTTTTTTTTTGATTATAGATGGACACAATACCTTTATTTATTTATTTATTTGCATGCGATGGCTGAGGATTAAACCCAGTGCCTCATACATGCTATGCAAGCGCCCTACCACTAAACCACAACTGCAGCCCTATTCTTCTGTTTTTGAGAGTACTTTATTCTGCTATATCATCTATGCCCTTCATCATAATTGTCACTTACCCACCACAAAGCCATTTTTCCATGTTTAATGAATTTCTATATTCAAACTAATGCTGTTATCTCAAACAAGCAAAGTAATTTCTTCAGTTCTGTTGACTGCTTATTCCCATAAAGCACACATCGAATCACTTGGAACTGAAGAACTTCTGAATATGAAATTTTAAACTTCAGTATTTCATTTTCTGACTACAATCTTGTAGCCTTTTTTATGTTACTGAGTGCTCCATTATCCAACACTTCTCATGAGATTTTCTTTCTCTTCTAGTTTCATTTCTTACCATTGGCCATTTTATATCCTATGATAAAATGACTTCAGCAACTCTTCACAGCAATCTTATATCTTCTGTCCCTAGGTTTCTCCCATGATTCCTTTGCTAATCCATGACCTGGGTTTTCTAACCATCTACTTTATCCACATGAATAGCAGGACTGTTGACAGATCAAAGAAACCTTAATTCCATAGAAAATATTATAATTACAGATTGAAGGTCTCAGATCTCACTGGAACCCTCAAATCTGTTTGACTGTAATGTCATGCATTTCTGGTGAGGTTCTTCACCTGTTACCCATGATATAATTCCAGATTATCACCATTCTTCCTACTCTTCTTATCCATTTGTTAGTCCTTCGCAGAAAAATTAGAAGTCATAAGTGAACTCTTGTCTTCACACCTTTCTAGCCTTCTACAAACATTTCTCCTTTCATTGTCACTTTCCATATAACTTTTGAGGAAAGATGTCTTTTCTCTTGTTCAAAATTTTTCTTTAGACCCAGCAGCTCAGGAGGCTGAGGCAGGAGGACTGCAAGTTGAAAGCCAGCCTCAGCAAAAGCAAGGCACTATGCAACTCAGTGACATCCTATCTCTAAATGAAATACAAAAAAATAGGGCTGGGGATGTGGCTCAGTGGTCGAGTGCCCCCCCCCTCCAAGTTCAATCCCCAGTACAAAAAAAAAATTAATTTTTAAATACCTTCTCATCTCTTCTGGGATCCTTTCCTTCAATTTTACTCTTTCATCAGTTTCTCCCAATGCCATGGCTTCTTCTCATTATCCTTAGCTTATAAAATATGCTGAAGCACATTATGTTTTTAAAGATATAAAACTCATAAAACATTTATCTTTCTCTAGACCTCACTCTATGTCACTTTACAACCAAGGTTGAAATAATGGTCTATAACCACCTTCTGTTTCATTCCCTTACTTGGTTTTCAAGATAATCATGATCAAGTGCCACCATCTCCATCTTTCACCTTCTTCTATCAAGACCCCTCAAGACCCACATAGGTCCCTATTTAGATAAAATTGGGTTCTTTCACCTCTGTGTCCCTAGTGTTTCTCACATGTAGTTTTGTTAGACTGTAGGTTCTTTGATAGAAATTTTGTCTCATTTTATCTTTGAGTCCCAAATACTTGATACTGTGATATCAGGAACATAGTAAGAAGTTCATAAATGGTGAGTAAAGTTGGAAGTATCTTTTAAAAATAGAAGTCAAGTAAAGGAAGATATAACATACTTTATTAGATTTTTCAGTAATACCAGATAATTATATTTTGACATGTTATTTTATATGATTGATGAAAAATGTACTTTTTCCCAAATAAGTTTCAGAAATTTATCTTTTAAAAATATTTTATTTTTAATTGACACATAGTAATTGTATATTTATGAAATATAGTGTGACATTTCAATAAATGTATGAAAAGTATAATGATGATCAGATTAGGATAATTGCCATATCTCTCACCTCATATTATTCTAGTTTTTCTTTTAATTGCTTCAAGTATTTATTTAAATGGTATTTATAGTTTTTTATGTTGAAGTTTTATAGTTTTTCTTGTCAAAGACACTAATAATTATATTATAATTTTTTAAATAGGTTAATTAGTATATATGTAGTTTTTTTTTTTTTCTTTTAACAGAATCATTTCGTACACCCACATTTTCATATGGAGTTGATGCACATGGTTTCTCCCTTGGATACAGTAAAAACTGGAGACAAGTCTTTGGTGATGAAAAGAAATATTGGTTACTTCCAATATTTACAAGGTAATTTATAAAATGTAGTTCTGAGAAATTATGGAGTCTGTGTAATCAATATCTCTGGTAAAATATCTTAAGATTCATTCATTCATTGTGACATTTTTACAAGCCTTGAAATGAAAATTCAAATACATTGATTGCATATAAAATGTTTTTATTAGATAAACAGTAAAGGAAAGTTTGAACAAATATTTGAATGGAAAGTGGAAAAAAAGATGACTTGTAAAACAATAAGAATCACTTTTTCCTTCCAAATGAAAGTAAACTTCTGGCTGGGATTATGGCTCAGTGGCAGAGTGCTTGCCTAGCATGTGTGAGGCAGTGGGTTTGATTCTCAGCACCACATATAAATAAATAAAATAAAGGTCATTTGACAACTAAAAAAGAAAGAAGGGCTGGATATATAGTCAGTTGGTAAAATTCTTGCTTCTCATGCACAAGGCCCTGGGTTCAATCCCAGCATCAAAAAAAAAAAAAAAAAAAGAAAAGAAAGAAAACATGGGCTGGATTTGTAGCTCAGTGGTAGAGTGCTTGCCTTGCATATGTGAGGCCCTGGGTTCAATCCTCAGCACCACATAAAAAATAAATAAAGATAAAGTTACTGTGTCCCTCGATAACTAAAAAAAAGTCAAAAGAAAGAAAATAAACTAAAATAAAGACTCTTAAGAATTTATACCTCTCACCCATAGCTACAAAGATTCCATCACGGATGTGAACTATGTGTTTTTCATTCTTAAAGAAAACCAAACACACCTTCCTTTCTAGCTCTCCCGCCATCTTGATGGCTGCTCTTGGTGGGGGGCCCTCCTGCATCTAAGGCAGGAAGATGGTGGCCACAAAAAAGTCTCTGGAGTCGATCAACTCTCGGCTCCATCTTGTTTTGAAAAGAGGAAAGTATCTACTTGGCTACAAGCAAACTCTGAAGATGATCAGACAGGGCAAAGCGAAATTGGTCATCCTCTCCAACAATTGTCCACTTTGAGGAAATCTGAAATAGAGTAATATGCCATTTTGGCCAAAACTGGTGTCCATCACTACAGTGGCAATAATATTGAATTGGGCACAGCATGTGGAAAGTACTACAGAGTGTGCACACTGTCTATCATTGATCCAGGTGATTCTTATATCATTGGAAGCATGCCAGAACACACTGGTGAAAAGTAAAACATGTAAAATTTTTCTTTAATAAAACTTGGCAGAGCTTGTTTTAAAAACACTTCATTCAGAAAAAGAAAAAGAAAACCAAACACATATGCAGTTTTACCTCAAGGGTAAAAGGAAAATATGTTCAAGTTGATTGAATTTTCATTTCTCCCTATAATTCCCAGCTCTTTTAGGCCATCTATATACCAAAGACATTATAGAAAAGGGAGGGAAATTTGAAATTGGTGTGGCAGATTGGTATGAGTCATAGGGTTTTTCCTTAATTAACCAACTTGCCTTTTTTTGTGAGGCTGAAAATGACTTATTTGGATTTCATTTGTGAAGGACATTTCTTCTTGATAGAATTATAGATGTTGTTTCACTGTCTCCTGACTTGCATTTTTTCTTTTGAGAAGTTTGTGGTTACTCTTACTTTTTCACTTTCTATATAATGTGTCTTTTCTTTGGTTGTTATTACTTTGATGAAGTTTGATTATGGCAAACCTTGGTTTAATTTTCTTCGTGTTTCTTGTGCTTGGATTAGTTGACCTTCTTGCCTTGGTTTTGTAGTTTTCATCAATATCGGAAAAATTGTTAACCATTTTTTCTTTTATCTTCTTTCTTATTACTGCAGCAACATCAACTACATATGAGTTATTCTGAAGGGTTTTCCATAGCTTAGTTAATGTACATTTTTGTTCCATCTTTGTATGTTTCATTTTTTTATAGATCTTATTGCTATGTACTCAGATTCATTACTTCCTTTTGTTTACTTTATGAATTGTCTCATGTGTTCAAGATTTTTCTATTCCCAGTGTTTGGAACAGGACTAATTGTTATTTTCTCTAATCAATGAATTCATGTTTTTTTTTCCCCTCCCTTTCTTTAAAGATATGTTTCTGTTATCTTCTGCTTTGCATGGTTTCTGCCCAACCAACCTCTTACTTTATTCTGCAATTTGCAAATTACTGTCAGCACACCCCCATGTTTCTAAAATTTTAACTTTCCCACTGGTTTTAAGCAGTTTGAACATGATGATATTTCTTGGTGTTTATTCTACCTAGTGATCTTTAAGGCTTCTTGAATTTGTAAATTTATGGTTTTCATCAGATTCGAAAATTTTTATTGATTATGTCTTTAGTTGTTCTGTTGTAGTTTTATATTTTTTGTTTGTGTGGTTTTATTCTTTTGCCTACTGCACTCTTTTATTCCCTTTCCCCAACAGCTTTTTTTTTCCTACTCTCAAGTATATATATGTTAAATTGCTTTGTAGTGACCCACAAGTCATTTTCTGATTTGCTGTTCTATCCTTGTTCCCCATCTTCTTTTCTGTGTTTGCTCCATCTTGGTTAGTTTCTCTTGTTTTATCTATAAATTCATGGATCTCTTCTTCTACATTGTCTACTGTGTTGGTAAACTTATCCAATAACTTTTCATTATAGATGTTGCATTTTTCAGCTTAAGAATATCAGTTTGGTTCTTTTTTATATCATATTTATTTTCTGTGTATCCACTTTTCCTTTAAGTTCACATTTATAGTCACTGTTTTGAAGTCTTTCACTGAAATTGCTGATTTTCTGATTGTTTTCTATTGATTTGCACCTCCACCTCCCCCCCCTTAGCTGCGAGATCACATTTTCTGCTGCTTTTTATGCCTAGTAACTTTCTATTGGCTGGTGACATTTTGAATGCTATTTTGCTGAGTATCTAGATTTTATTGTCTGTATAAAGAATTGAATTTTGTTTTGGCAGGTGGGTACCTTTGTTTCAGTTTGGGATTGTTGTTGCTGTTTGTTTTGGTACTGGGGATTGAACCCAGGGGTGCTTAACCACGGAGCCACATCTGCAGACCTTTTTCTTAGTATTTACTTTAGAGATGAGCCTCATTAAATTGCTGAAGCTGGCTTTGAAATTGTGATCCCCCTGTCTCAGCCTCCCGAGCTACTGGGATTACAGGCATGCACCATCATGTCAGGCTCAGTTTGGGATTTTTGAGATTTATTTTAAGCTTCACTAGGATGGATCCAGCATAGCATTTTCTGTGCAGCTAGTTTAATGCTATAATAAAGGTGGGGATTCTTTCAAAACCATGTGTTCAGTGAGATCTCTGTTTTCTGGCTGGTCAATTTTATTGCCTCCTTGTGGAAACTGTGAATCTGTTCAACTTACACTTCCCAATGTTCTTTTCCCAGTCACCTGTGTAGCGTACTGTTCATCAAAAGATTCAAGTACAGTATGTGGATATATCTGTAGCCATTTCTCTGTGTGTCTTCCTCTTTCTCAGCTATGTCTTATAAATTCTTGCCACTTGGCTTCTCAAAGCTCCCATCTCTGTTACCTCAATGCAATGTAACTACCTTACTTTGCTTGGATTCCCCTCCTGATGATGAGGTTCTGGCCAAAAGCTGGGACTCAGTTCTTTTATTTTTTTTTTTTTCTTTCTGAGACCACAGTCCTGTTCTGTTTTTTAAAAAGTTATTTAGTATGCTGTCCAGTTTCTGGCTGTTTAAGACTATGGGCAAATTTACCAGTTATTCTCTCTTGGCTAAAAGTGAAGTCTCTGTTGTATACAGTTGTGGTATGTTAAGCACATATACTAAAATTGGAATGATATGGAGAAGATTAGCATGGTCCCTGCACAGGGATGACATACAAATTCATGAAGCTCCATATTAAAAAAAAAAAAAGTGAAAGTAAGATATAACTTAACCTTTTTTGGCTGTAAGCTTCTTGAAGATGGAGATTTTCTTTTGTTCACTGTTATAAACCCTAATATATAAAATATTACCCAGAATATCATAGGTATTCAACAGATACCTATGACATTGGGGTTTTTATTGTTTTGTAGTGCTCAATATTAACTAGAGAACCAACCCAGGAACTCACCCATTCAAGGAGTCCTGCACTGAGCTATATCCCCAGCCCTAGATATTTGTTTAATGAATGTTGTTGAATGAATAAACATGTGGAACTTATATCTTGAATTTCATTTAGCCTGGATGATGTCTTAAATGATTATAATGAAAACTCAATTATCCACATACTTGAATAGTTCTGTTTGAGGTGTAAACTAGGCATCATGATCTTTAGTAGATCTTAGTAGATTCTTTTATAATTTACATATAGTTAGAAATAAAAGAGCCTTCAATGGAGGTCAAAGCCTTCTAAATTAGAAATCCTAGGAATTATTCTCTGAAAAGAACATTTCTTTCTCTCATGCTCCTGAAAGACATTAAATTTGACCACTTTGAATAACTTAATATGATTCAGGTTATCGCTATTTCTCATTATGCAGTTTGGGTGATGGTTGCAGTTTTCCAACTCGCCTTGTTGGGATGGATCCAGAACAAGCTGCTACAGGCCAAAGTGAACATTCCAGAAGGTGTGCTTTTTTTGTCCCTAAGTTTTTCTTTGCTAAACAACTGTATACTTGTGTTATACATACATATCTTATGAATATATACAACAATAATCCAGTAAGCCACCATAGATAAGAAAAAAAATTCTATTTAAAGTTTTTAACTGATGTTTAATATGTATATGTGCCTAATATGCAGGCTGGGGATGTGGCTCAGTGATAGAGCTCTTTACTGGAACATGTGAGGCCATGAGTTCAATCCCACTACTGAAAGAAAAAAAAAAATTTAAAACTAGGACAATCACAAAATGTTGGAAATGTCTGGGCAAACTGGGAAGCAAGTAAATATGATGCATCTTCCTAAAAAGTGAGGTATTCTTCAAAGAAATTAGTCATTATACTAGTTACCATTTTATTATGATAAGTAGGTTTTTAGCTATACTATCAAAATAATGAGGATTCAAACATTTTTTTCTTATTCATCTTAAGGAATTTTTTCTCATAATATTTGTATGGTAAGCAAATTTTCATCGATTCCGTGAAATAGTTCAATTTAAATGAAATTTTAAAGAATCTAGAGAAAATTCTGCCAAGGTGAAATAGTTGAGCCATATTTATGACAGAAATAGATTATAGAGGAGGAGGGGTCATAAGTTCCAAGCTAACATGTTAATATTAGAAGACATAGGCCTTAGAACCTACAACCTAAGGCCTTAGAACTTAGAGTTCTAACATTTATTGTAGTCTCTGAACAAGTCATTGAAACTGTCTGAGCCTCAGTTTCTATCTCTGTAAAATGAAGATAATGAGACTTGCCTCCAGGGGTTACTGAAAGGGTCAAAATGATGTGCATACATACACATTTATAGCGCCTAGCACACTCTCTGGCCCACATCAGACACCAAATAAATTTTTATTCCTTTTCCTCCTTTCCTTCCTCCATTCCCCTCCTTCCCTGGTTCTCTTAGCTAGAAAAATAAGTCTACGCTAAATCACTAAATCATTTTTTCCCCTTAGATCTAAACTGGCGAGGTAGAAAGCAGAAAACTTGGGAAATGACAGGTAATTTTTTTGTACTGGCCACAGACATAGCTCCTCACCTGTCCTCATACTACCTTATGGCACCTGATTAACATAGTGTTAAAACTTTTCAGACTGGCCTCTGAAGCTTTTTTCTTTTGTCTAATTGTTTCATTTGCAGTTTTAGAATACAGATTCTTGGGTCCAGAGAGCCATTTCATTGGGGTGGGGGGGTCCGTGGGCATATTTTCCTTTTCAAGGTGGCTTTTTCAGATGGCTGAGATCTCATGAGTTGCCCTCACATATTTAGGAGAAGGAATACTAATATGCTGCTTATTAATTTATTAAGTATCCTTAATTGAGCATTAAACAATTTACTAAGTTATTTGTTCCTCTTTTCAGTATTGGCTCAAATCAACCTTTTCCTATCAGACCACTTAGTGAATCAAAAAACCGTTTGTTGGACAATGAATCTCAATGGCTAGAGAATGGAGCTGAAGAAGGTGTTGTCAGATCAGGTAATAATTCTCACCTGAAAACACTGCTTCACCTATTTGGTTCAAATGAAAAGCAACAGATTTAATAAATGTTGAAAAAACAGAACAATGTGATATTTTGAAATACTGAAATGTGAAACTGTAATAAAATGTCTTATAAATGGGATGTTTGTGTTTATTGGCGGCTTCTGTGAGGAAAGAGGGCAGAGAAAGGCAGGTATAATGTTTTTTATTGCATTCAGCTGGTTTTTTTTGTTTTCCAACCACACATTTCTTCAGTAGTGTGGAAAGTCCTTTTGACATACGCTATTTCAAATAATGTTCTAAATAACTATTATTTAGGATTCTAGCTCATACTTATTGAAAATAATTTTTAAAAATTATAGTACTCTTTAAGAGTGCACTGGACCCAGTGTGGTAAGGCCCACCTGTAATCCCAACTATTTGAGAAGCTGAGGCAGGAGAAACTATAGGTCAAGGCCAGCCTAGGCAATTTAGCAAGACCCTGTCTCAAAAATATTTTAAAGGAATATGGGGACTAGGATGTACGTTTAGAGGTATAGCACTCTCTTAGCATGCATGAGGGCCTGGGTTCCACCCCCAACACTCTCCTCACCCCCACAAAATAAAAGATATTTATTTTTCTGTGTAGTTCTAGGCTCAAACCCAAGGCCATACAGGTGCTAGGCAAGTGCTTTATTACTTAGCTACACCTCCCCCCTCTTGTTTTAACCTTTCTTAAAGACTCACTTCATAAATTATAGAGTAGTTGATAAAATTGAAGTGGGATTTTTAATCAGATCTGGGTTTACTTAACTAGCTGAATACATGTCTGAGGTGTTTCTTTTTTTTGGGGGGGGGGAGAGTATAAGGGATTGAACTCGGGGGCACTCAGCCACTGAGCCACATTCCCCAGCCCTATTTTGTATTTTATTTAGAGACAAGGTCTCACTGAGTTGCTTAACATCTTGCTTTTGCTGAGGCTGGCTTTGAACTTGCAATCCTCCTTCCTCAGCCTCCTGAGCCACTGGGATTACAGGCATGCGCCACTATGCGGTATTTCTTAATAGGAATAATAATATTGTCATGTCTTCCTGCACTGTTAAAAAAAAAAAGTTTGAGATCTTAAAACAATTTGTACCAACTCTAGGAAATAATACTAAAAACTTGCTGTCAGAATTTATCTTCTTTAGAAAGAAGTATTTCTTTGGGTTTTAGCAGCATTTAAACATTTTCTTAAATTAGTAAGTTTAGAATCTTCTTCAGGATCTTGTGTAAGTGGAAAAATTCATTTTATGGACTTTTAAATTATTGCTGCTTAACATCTTTAATGCCGTTGTATACTGTGGGGCTAAATATGAAACTAGACTTCTAACACAATGCTCTTTATTCACTTCTTCATGTAGAGAATGCAAATGGTTTGTGCTATAAACATATTTAGTGCTTACATAATATTTGTCTTTACTGTAATCAATTTTATCATTTAGCCAGGAACTTAATATTTTTTTCATGTCATATATAATTATGTGCTTACAGGGACAAATAATCATGTTACAGTGGCAATAGAAAATTGAGTACCACTTGTTCATAACTAACCATTTGATAAAACCAAGGTAAGACAGTATAAAGGTAATATCCTTGAGCAAATGTAGTTTATATTTGCATATTTCATAACCTCAAAACATTTGCTTTTTTTTTTCATTATATCAATACAATAGTATAGGAAAGACTGGAGGGTAACATATGCCAAAATTTCATTTCTCTTACTACTTCTAGCACAGTGAAAAAAACATTTGTTGGATAGATAAATGAAGGAAAAATAGAAATAGTTTATGATTGGTATGTGGACAACTAACTTTTCAGTAAACAGTACCTTATTAGTTTTTTTTAAAAGGTGATTTTTGCCCACAATTTGATCCAGAGAAGAATGATTACAGGCTGAAAAAGATTTAAGATGTTCATGATGTTATTTATTTAGTTTTATAAAGACACAACAGATTGTTGCTGTGTAACAAATTATCACAAATTTACTGCTTAGGACAACTGTGCACAGTTACTACCAGTTCCTTTCCAGCAGTTCAGTTTTCCAAAGGTATCTCACCTGGAGTCTCAACTAGCAGAGCATCAGCTTACTTGATTTCAGGCTCATCAGAGGCTAATCAGGTCCTTTCAGCAGACCTGGTGCCTATGTCCACAAGTAGAGCTGGAGCCTAGGACCTAGGACAGAATGAGATCACAAGCTTGGGATGGCTTGGCAGAGTGTCACATTGGGCAGAGTAGACTGTGGTCTGAAGAGGAACTAAGTGTATGTGCAAACATAGACTTGCACCAGAAGCTGTAGCTATGGAACAGCACTTGTTCCTGGAGAGGCGTTCAGTACTGCTTCTACATTGTTTCTTAATGTAGGCAGGATACTGACTGAAACTTACGGTTGTTGAGAATCACTAGCTGAAGTTTCTCTAATGGACACTGTGGGAACTTCCCCACATCTACAGCAAACTCTGAAGAGGTGAAGGTAGATACCTCATCTGATGATTCCCATGTTAACATCAGGAAGTACTATAAGAATTCCCCTCTTAAAATAAATAAATAATTTTTTTAAAAAAAGAATCCCCCTCTGTTAATCTTGATACCTTAGGAAAAGAAAGGGTTATTCCCTACTTACTGTTTATTAAAAAATCTTTATTAAATTTAGTTACGTTGGGACTGGGGTTGTAGCTTAGTGGTAGAGCACTTGCCTAGCATTTGTGAGGTACTGGGTTCAATCCTCAGCACCACATAAAAATAAATAAATGTATCTATCTACAACTAAAAAAAAAAATTAAAAAACTTTAGTAACATTAGCTGGGCACTGTGGTGCACACCTGTAATCCCAGCAACTCGGGAGGCTGAGGCAGGAGGATCCAGAGTTTGAAGCCAGCCTCAGCAACTTAGCAAGGTCCGAAGCAATTTAGTGAGATATTATCTCAAAATAAAAATAAAAAGGGTTGGGGATGTAACTCAGTGGTTAAGTACCCCTGGGTTCAGTACCTGGTACCAAAAAATTTTTTTAATTAAAAAATAAATAAATTTAGTAACAATAAAGAATTTATTTCCTATCTTATAATAGTATCATCTTTATATCTTAGCCCACAGAGCCATTTAATATTTTGAGAAATAAAAAAATCTAATTTTAACTAATTCAATTGTTTCTGTTTTCATAGGTGTATAAAAACACATTGTCGACTGATATTTTCAATTTTATTTGCAAGAAAATGATCAAAGGAATGAAATAATTTGAGTATAACAGAAGATATATTTTTTAAAAAAGGAAGCCTTTGTACAGTTCGCTGGATCCACAGGAGCACTACAAGCAGAATGATGCCTTAATTTTAAGTGTCCATTTGTGCAACATTGACTCACAGCTCAAAAGTGACTTGATTTTACTTTGAAAATAATACCTGTTACGACATGCTATAATATGTGCTGTCATCACTTATGTGCATAAGTATTTTTTTGATATCTGAATTACAATATTAGAATTATTTCTTGGTATTCAATAGGTTCTCACTCCAAAAACACAAACTAAAAACTTGTCTTAAATGAAGTATATCTAGGGTAAATGGTGGCTGAAAGTGAATAATATCCAAATTACTGTTGCTTGTACTGTATAAGAGAAAAAAAATAACTGCTTTTTTATTGAGTATTTGCTAATTTATAATTACTATTTTATACTTTTCAACATTTTTAATAAAATTTTTATTGTTGGCTATAATAACACTCAGAATGATTCAGATATCTAATCATTTAGAACATAGAATTCATGGGGATAATTTATTGATGGCTTAGAAGCATTAGTACAACCATGTAGTATAGTATATGCCAAAGGCTTAAAAAAATCTTGGAAGTGTAAGAAATATTTTGGGTACAATGCTTTTTTTATTACTTTTTGTTGAACTGTCAGGGGTTATTTATATGGGTAGGGGAGACACAAAGGTATTTGTGATATAGAAAAGTTGGGCACAATAGGGATAGATGGAAGTGGCTAAAAGAAAAATAAAGAAAAAGGTAGACAGGATACTGTAAGGTGTTGAAAAATATTTTCAAGCCAGATGTATTAGTATACCCAATCCCAATTCCTGGGGAGGCTGAGGCAGGAGAATTGCAAGTTTGAGGTCAGCCCAGGCAATTTAGCAAGACCCTGTCTCAGAATAAAATAAAAAGGGCTGGGGATTTAGTGCAGTAGTAGAGTTTTTGCCTAGCATGCATGAGGCCCTGGGCTCAATTGCCAGCACTGGGAAAAAAATTTTTTTTTTCTTTTTCAGTGCTAAATGTATTGAGAATAAAACATGCTGTTGAGTTGACTTTTAAATTTCTTTTTTTTTTTTTTTTTTTTTTAAGAGAGAGTGAGAGAGGAGAGAGAGAGAGAATTTTTAATATTTATTTTTTAGTTCTCGGCGGACACAACATCTTTGTTGGTATGTGGTGCTGAGGATCGAACTCGGGCCGCACGCATGCCAGGCGAGCGCGCTACCGCTGAGCCACATCTCCAGCCCTTAAGTTTCAATTTAAGTAATAACTAAATTTTTCTTTGAAACTTTTTATAGTGATCCTATAACTTATGAATAGTGACTTAAAGTATAAAGTAGGAACAGTACTTGAGAGTAATACTGCTTTTAGGAAGAAATTCTAAAGCTGAGTAGTCATTTAAAAGTCCCAGACTCTGAGAGTGGATTCTACTCTTAACTGCAAAATCTTAAATCTGACTTCTTATTAGCAGTTTATTCTCACCAGATACACTTTTCCTTTTAAAATCTTAACTTAAATGACAGGAATTGCTGTATTCTAGAGAATAGTACAATATCATATTAAAAGATAATGTAGAAATGTTACTCCTCATTTATACTATTGAATCAGATACACATCCTTGAAATGATTGGTTGCTTCTAGTAGGTGGGTTGAGAGAAATCTTAGCAGCTTAAGTAAGTATCAGAGGCTGTAATTTCCATATATGTAAAATGGAAGTATGGGTCCTCAATATTTTGGACTGGATGATTTCTAACATTCTGCAATGCCTGATTTTGCAAAATAACCTTGATTTTCATCCCTCTAACAAATATTTTAGCAGTATCTTCTAATGTTAACCAGTATACTAGGGATAACTGTTTAAATCTAGCATAAATTTTATAGCTGATGTTCCAAGATTATACTTTGAAGGATTTGCCTAATTCCCACAGGCTATTAAATCTTAAAAAGTAATTTTTTTTCCCCTTTAGACCAAAGGAGCAATTAAGCTTTGAAAATAGTTTGGAGTCCTATAATATGGTTTCTTCTACCTTCATTTCAATTCTTTAATCTTAATTCTGGAAAACTAGAATGAGAGTTAAGAGAAATCAGTTACCAACCAAGAACATGTCAGTTTGGTGGTTTGCATATTATAAGGAATGAGTAAATGTTTATCTGTACTTCACTATTTTCAGAAATGTTCTGATCCTTTTTGTATATCTATATTTAGATCAGAGGATTTGCATGCACCTGGCTAACAATTGCAAAAGCTTAATTTTCCCCTTTAACCTATTCAGGCACTTTTGTGGAATTATAATCTTTCTTAATTCTTCTCATTTGTTATTTAATATCTTTAATAGCATAGTAAACAAACACCTTTTCAGAAATTTTCAGTTTAAGACTTTTACTGTAGTTACCTTTGATTTAATTACAGCCAACATTTTGCCATATTCTAAATAATCTAGCTGAATTTATTCATACATTTTACTGACGATTCATTAAGAGCCTACCAGTGGTATAGGAACCAGGAAAAGGCTGCCTCTTTGGTATTTCAACTGGTATTGATTACTGATATCAACTGTTTGAGGAGAAAGGTCAAAATGAAGCCTTGCCAAAATTTCTAATTATTACTATTTTTCATCCTTCCAACACTTGAACATTTGTGATGATACTGAGGAAAAACAAGGTTGAATTTCAGGTCTTGCCATTGCCATTAAAAACAAATTAGAAGTCTTGGTTTACCTGTGCACAGACTTACTTGAAGATTTGATACCTGAGTCCTCTGACAAAATATCACTATGCCAAACCAAAGAGCAGCTGCAGTATATTAGTGGTTGAACATGTTTACACAGCTTAGTGCATCTTTACATGAAAATGATTTTTTAAAAAACTTTTTACATATTCAATGGTTATGATCCAATGTGTCACAAGTGAGTATAATTGTAAGATGAGTTTGAATCAAATATACAGTGTTTACTTGAATTTTATTTCTATTAGAAAGCAAATTTTGACTATGTTTACAGGAGCGTTTAAGATGATCAGATGTGAGATTCTCCATTCAATTGTCTTGCAAATGTATACACAAAGGACCTGCATATTTGGGGCATTTAATAGACAGTAACTTACATGTAAGTTTCACTTACATTTTGTTCTAGAACTAGCACTGCTGTCAATGAAAAATATTTTTAACTAATGTGTTATTAAGAAATTAATCATATTTTTGCATTTCAGCCAAAATAAAGACCATATCTAATAACCTATTAGATACAGGTAGTCTGTAAATCTGAAATCCATGTTTCATAATGATCTAAACTGTATTTTTATCAATTTAAATTTAAAATGCAGTGTAGATTAAGAAAGGTCCATATTTTTCTGATGGACTCCTATATTATTTTGTTGGGTTGCATAAAGAAGCAAGGAATTGTATTTGTAATAAAAGAGTAAGAAAGCTACTAGCTAAGTTAATTATATTTGTATATGATTGCAGATGAGTCTATGCCCATTTAAAAGAAAAGATGGACTCTATTTTAAAAGTGATCTTTAATAATGCTTTTATAGAAACAAATTTGAAATACAGTTTACCTTGGTTGTCTTATGAAGAACCATAAACCTTGTATTTATTTCTCATTTGTATAATCCTGGACCATTACTTAATGTTGACTCTGTCTTTTGGATGGCCTAACCTACATTAACATTTATGCAGAATAATTAAACAATTTTTTTCAAAAATCATATTTACTTTATTAATAAATAAATAAATATATGTACAGTCTTGTTTTTGAGTTTTTTGTTTGTTTTTGTTATAAAGTGGTATTTGCCAGATAAGAAAAATAATTATTATTTTGGTCAATTTGAAAATCTTATAGTAGTTTACAGAAATAGACTAATAATTTAGGAAAACCTCCTCTAAGATGATATGTACACGGTGCAATAAAGTAGTATTTACTAGTTTAATACCTAAAGAGTTTCATTTAGCTTTTACTAAACATAATTTCAGAAGTTACTTTAGGATCTTGAGTATCTTCACATCACTATGAAGTTATTGAGTCGTGGCTAAAATGCCAGGTAATAGATTTTATCTTGTTTATTCTTTTATGCCATCTGTGTTTGGGTTCCCTTCAGTTCTAATATGGACTGACAAATAAAAACAGGAGGCTCTGAGGTTGAGCTGATTCCCAGTTCTCAGGATAATTAAATTTCAAAATGTTCACAAGAACAATAGAGGCCAGTAGAGATGAACCAACCTTTCCCTACCCCATTCAAAACATTATTTTGGGACTAGAGAGGAAGGGTAACTACTAAATGGCCAAAAGCCTGATTTGACACCAAAAAAAGATGTTTACTTTCATTAAATAACATCAATATGGCTTTACTTTTCTCATTTCTTATAGACTGGCTTTTTGGAGCCCCACCGACAATTAGTAATACTGTTCTCTTATATATATGTTTTACTATGTCTTCCAGAATTTACAGGAATGGGAACTAAGTTTTTCTCTTTTTTTTTAACATTCTTTTTTTTTTTTTTTGGTTATTCAAAACATTACAAAGATTGCAGAATCACATCGGTTACACATCCGATACATTTTTACATAATGCCATAATAGTAACTGTTGTATTCTGCTACCTTTCCTATCCCCTACTATCCCCCCTCCCCTCCCCTCCCATCCTCTCTCTCTACCCCATCTACTGTAATTCATTTCTCTCCTTATTTTTTTCCCCATTCCCCTC